TCTTTTAGTGATCTCAGATGTCAAGCCATAAGTTTATTTTACAATGTTCTTGGATAAATAAGGGCTGAGGAAAAAATGAGGAGTGAAATATGTTTATCTGAGTGAATTGCTAAGCAACATCACACATGCCAGAAAGTCCTTTTAGTTTTCCTCTTGGAGACTGCAAGACCAATGCCTATTTCAGCTGGCGTCTGTCTCAGCAGTTCTCACTGAAAAAAATAAAAGCAACCCAGGAAGCAGACGATTGTAACAATACACAAGTTGGAGAGATGGGAGTTCTGTGTATTAAACTGTACCGCCCTGTTTGTAGGACTGGCTTTTTAAAGGGCTGTGTGTCCCATGGCATGACAACAGCTGAGTGTGCCCTGTGGTGTGGTCCCAGAAAAACCTGCCACACGGAGAAAACAAAATCAGAGCACTTGGGCTGTGTTATGTACCCCACGCAGCACCCCACTCTGCATTGTGGAAACTGAGGACATGACACTAGGTTTGTGATGGTCAGAGAAACAAAAATACAAGTTTGTGCATTTCACTCTGTAAAAAGGAAACGCCTTTTATGAGAGACAGATTTTTAAGATGAATCCTAAAAGAAGGAATTCCACGTATAGGAAGAGAAACTTAAGCCTCAGGCCCTGCTTGAGCCAAAGCTAGGATTCTACAGGGAGAAAATATGATAAAGTAAAAGTACAAAAGGGAACATAGGAAACCAGAAGGAATGAGTAGATATTTGAGCAGGAAACTATTTGATAATAGGAGCTGAGTTTATGAAACTTAGACTAAGGGCTGGGGATTTAGCTCAGCGGCATAAGCACCTGCCTTGCAAGCAGGCAGTCGTGAGTTCAATCCCCGGTACCGATAAAAATAAATGAATGAATAAATAAATAAATAAATGTCTACTATGAAACTTAGACTAAAATTAATAGCGAAACTCTTAGAATGCAAGATTAAAGATGCAATGGTCTAAAAACTATTCAAGTAATGTTACACAAAAACTGCAGAGAATTTTTTATGTCACATTTCTTGCGATAACTTGTAAATAAAATTGTGGGTAAGCACACATCTAATCCTAAATTGATGAATGGACATATTTTCAATCAATATTGTAAACCTAAAAGTAGAATCTCAAGGGGTCTGTTTCAGATGTTGTTTTAAATAACTGACACTGCTACAAACCGACCTCTTAAAAGTTGCTAGCTACAGAATAAACTCTGTACTCTCTGCCATGTATGAGGCTCCCATGTCCCGACCAGGCTGCCTTCTCTCCCCACTCCATCCCAAGTAATCTCTCTTCTGAGCCTCCTCTCCTGTTACAAGACTTCACTCGAGAGCTGATACAAAATATTGTTCTCCCTTCTGTCATTTAGATTCAGGGTGTGTCATTCTAGTGAAAAACCTGTCTAAATAATATTTTGCTCATCCTAACTACCTGTAATAGAAGCGCAGAATTCAAACTCAATAAATAGACACTAAGTGAATGAATTTGCTAATTCCATCATTATTCTTTGATGTATCTGTTTGTCTGTCAGCTTCTTCCTCCTTTTGTCTCTGGGCAACAGACTGGTTAGTAAAAAGCTAGGAGCAAACAAGAAATAGAAACATACTGCAGTCAATCTTCCTGAATTGTGAGGAGCAAAATCACCATTGGGGGAAAATATCCCAGCATTTAAAGTGGCATTTTGAGCAGTGACTTTACAGTAGGTTCCTGTGGCATAAGACATACAGAGGGCTCCTGGACTTGGAGGAGTGGCGAGCAGGAACGCTTTAAGGAGCTGAGGAATAAGAGACTCCAGTTTCAACCAAAGGTCTGGTTCTGTGACTGAAGATGATGGCAGGCATTCAAGTCTTCTTTGACAAATCTCTGCAGAAAGTAAGCCTTGCTCCGTGAGGGCCAGGCTTCATACCTGCTTCACTGCATTCTCTCTGGCTTCTAGTGTTGTGTTTGATAATCTAGGTGCTTAGGATCCTTCTTACAGGATCTTGTGCCGGGCATGGAGTCCCTGTTCTCAAGAAGCTCATAGTCTAATTGGGATAAAGACCTCCAGATAAGCAATTATAATAGATGAGGTATATGAATCAATACACCCCTAATACCGCTAGCATTTACCATGTTTCAGGCAGGGATCTCTAAGCCTCACTGCTGTAGTCCAAATGTCTGTGTTTCTTGATGCACTAAACCCTAACCCCCACAGTAAAGACATTAGAAAGTAGAGCCTTCAGGAAGTGTCTCTGTTGTAGGGATGGAGCCACCATAGAAGGAACTGTGATCCTTATTTCCAAAAGGTCTGGTAGCTTGTGTTAGCCAGATTTCCATTGCAAAGAAAAAAATATTTGAAGTCCAGTTAAAAGGAGGAAAATCCTATCTGGGCTGGTGTTCTCAGAGATTGCAGCCCACATCAGTTGGCTCCATTGCTCCATGGGATAGGAGTGGGGGAACATGAGGAGAGCAAAGCTTCTCAGCATATGGCGACTGGAAAGCAGAAGGAGGAGGGGCTGCTCACACACACGTTCCCTCCAGGCACATGCAGCCCCATGAGCAAACTTCCTTCCACCAGCCCCACTTCTAAAAGTTCCACCACTTCCCAATAGCACCATAGACGGGCAACCAAGTCTTCAATGCATGAACCTTCATAGGACTTGTAAGACCCGAGACATAATGGGAGTTTTCAGTCCTTTTATCTTGGGAGGACACAGCTCGCAGGTGCTCTCTGCACCAGACGGTGGGCTTTCACCAGACACCACATCTGCTGGCATCACGACCTTGGACTTACCAGGTTCCAAAACCAGGAGGACAGATTGTTGTTGCTATAACAATCAGTACGGATGGACTAAGGCACTTACATGTATCAAGTCACCCAATCCTCACAACACTGTGAGATGAGCATGATCTTTGTGTCTATCCTTACAAGCAACAGTAAGAGAGGAAGCATGCCTGATTCCGTGCAGTGGGAAGTGGAGAGCAAGAGCTAAAGCCCAGCCACCTGCTTCCAGAGTTCCTGAAAGGAATGACCACATTGCAGGCCCCAGAGCAGCCGAAGAATTGGTCTGACTACACTGAAGTTTCCTCATGATCTGGGATCCCAGATGATGGGATCATGGGTGACAGTGAAGCAGAAAACTATGGTGGGGTGGAACTTGGAATACGCGGGTGCTTCTCAAGTTGAGGGTGCCCCCAAAGCCTCTGTAAAGATCCAGAACTCCAGCTCTAAAGTCCTGGAGTTCTTCAGCAATAAGACTGGATTGTCTTAAGACTGGCTGTGTCTTCAACAAGTGTCCTGAGTGATGCTGAAGGTCTTCAGGTCATGTTTTGAAAACACAGAGCTAGAGCTGTTCTCCAGGGGACCCCTTGGGCTCAGGTCAGTGTGCCTGTTCATGCCCAGCTCTCCTGGTCCATTCAAGATTATCTGACAATAGAGCGCAGAGAGTGCCACCATTTGCATTTTTGGGTGACAGGCATTGGCAACCCTACTCAGGACAGTAACCATCACCATGTTTTTATCTGTCTTTGATCTGTCTCCTTTCCAGGCCAAAGTCAGTATTACTCTCTGCTTCACAAGCCTGACGTCTCAGTAAGTGTATCAGGAAATGTCTGCAGAAGGAGTCTGGCCCATGCTCTGAACTCACAGCCAGCCCTGCCTCTGAGAGGCTCGCAGTTGGATAAAGGAGCCACCTGTATAAACCACAGGGTCAGATGATAGGCAGCTACAGAAATTTACGAGTATGAGCAGCATGTCCTGAGTTCACAAGAACAGCAGATAATGCCACATGAGTAGATGGAGAGCATGGGAAATCATGCCAGGAAAAGTACCCTAGGAGCTGTTACAGGTTGACTTGTATCCTCCCAAAAATTCAGGTTGAATCCTAACTCCTAATTCTGCACCTCAGAATAAGTACTCTAGGCGGACTTGTCTTTTTCAGGGAGATGAAGTTGATGAGATCCTTAGTGTGGCCCCTAATCCAGTGTAACTGGGGTTCCTATAGGAGAACAGGAGACCATGTGAGGGACCCAGGGAAGCCGGGACATACAAGCCAAGAGCAGAGGCCTCAGGAGAAGCCAACAATGCTGCCAGCAGGTTAATTTCTGTGTTCAAGCCCCCTGGCAGGGGCAGTTTGTTATGCCAGCCCCACCAAGCTAACATACAAGCAGCGTCAGACTTTTTCTAAATCCACCTTCAGGGATTGAATGTCACCCTCTGAGCTGCTGGAAGCCCAAGGACATGTCTAAGAAGCTCGGTTTGGGCTGGAAACAGACATGCGGAGACCAGAAGTGGGAAGGGACGCTCGGCTCCAACGTGTGATGACACATACAGAGGCAAACGCCACCAGCGGGAAGGAAACAGCAGAGAGCCTGTCAGGGCAGCCTCTGTGGGCAGAAAGGAAGGACGGACGAGACGTGGAGAAGTGGTGGAGAGCAGACAAAGGGAGTCATCAAGAAGCATGATGGGCAGGCAAGCCACCCCCAACCTCAGCAGCGACGAAGGAGGTGACCAGAGAGGCCAAGGCTTTGAGCTTAGAGTAGGCTGAGCCCAGACAGCCCCAGAACACCAGCTGCATGTGGCAGCGGAAGGGAAACAAAGGCCAGAGTCAGGGCTCGACCCTGTAGCCAGTGCTGAGGGAGGACACTCCAGCCATCTGCAGGTCCCCAGCCCAATCCTCCGGGCGCCCACGGTGTGGACCGCAGGGACACCGAGGCACAGTGGGCGTTGGGGGAGGCAGTGCGAATCCGCCTTGGTTTGTCTGAGGTCTCGAAATGCGGGAAAAGTGTCCTGGCCCACGCTGGAGATGCCCACTCGGCCCAGTTTCACAAACTGACTCCATCCCGCGTACCGGTCTTGATCTTTGTCTTCTCCCACTTTGGTAAATCGAAGCACAAGCAGCCTAGGAATAACGCCCGGACAGACTCCCCTACCCCCGAGCTGTTCCCCGGGCGGGGCTCGGATGGGCGCAGCAGGGCAGCCTCGGCTGGGCGGGGCGGGGCGGGGCCGGGCCTGGGACGCGGCGGCGGCGGGCTCTGGAGCGGGGCCGGGGCCGGGGCCGCGGCCGGGCTGCGCTCGCTGCGGGGCTCGCACTGTGGCCGCGCGCCCGGCGCCCGTGACGCGATGGTGAACGCGAACCGCGTGCAGCCGCAGCCGCCCGGGGCCGCCGAGCCGTCCGCGCCGCAAGCGCCCAGGCCGGGCAGGCGGATGGCGGGGCTGGGCGGCCCGGGCCTGCGCGAGGCGCGCGGCCTGGACATCGAGATGGAGCGCATCCGCCAGGCCGCCGCGCGCGACCCCCCGGCCGGGGCCTCGGCCTCGCCGTCCCCGCCGCCCTCGGCCTGCTCGCGGCAGGCGTGGAGCCGCGACAACCCGGGCTTTGAGGCCGAGGAGGAGGACGACGACGAGGAGGTGGAGGGCGAGGAGGGCGGCATGGTGGTGGAAATGGACGTGGAGTGGCGCGCGGGCAGCCGCAGGGGCGCCGCGTCCTCGGCCGTGGGCTCCGCGGGCGCGCGCGGCCGAGCGCTGGGCGGCTACCACGGCGCGGGGCCCCCGGGCGCGCGGCGCCACCGGCGTGAGGACCCGGGCGCGCCCTGCTCCAGCCCGGCCGGCGGCGGGGACGCGCGGCATCGCCACCTGGCCCTGGACGGGCAGCCGCCCCGCGTGGCCTGGGCCGAGCGCCTGGTCCGCGGGCTGAGAGGTAAGCACGGCCCGGTGCGCAGCCTCAAGGGGGCCCAGCCGCACCCACTCCTGCGTCCCTGGGAGGCGCGTGCCCCGCACCCCGCAGGTCCCCTCTGCGCCCGCCTGGGTGCTAGACTGGGTCCCCCTCCTAACAATCTGTCCGGTTGACTTTTGGAAAGATGTGAAAGCCGTCCGTAGGACACAACGGGGGCTCCGCAGGGGAAAACGAGCCTTACTTCCAGTGCAACTCACGGTGGCTACAACCAAATGCGTATTTGCTGATGTCACAAAATCACAAAGAACATTTTATGGAATCCTAGGCCCATGGCGTAAGGCTCTGTTGTTTCCTCCGCCCTTTCCACCAACAGTAAGGACACCGTTATCCAATCCGTGGGAAGGGCGTGCCCTTAAATTGTCACTGATGCTGTTTTGGTGATGTTGCCTGTGATTATTTAGGGAAGGAGGAGCCTTTGACCATAACACAAATGGAATAAAATAATACCTGTACAAACAAATATTTAATCATTTCTAACTCTAGCAACTTTTCAGAAATAGTTGCAAAAACAAGGTTAACATTGTTTTAAAACTTGGGTGTTTTAGATAACAGTGTTTTTTGCAATGCCAACTAAATAATGAATCTCCATATACCAGCTGATCCGTGTGGGGAGCACAATCACCCAGTTCTGCAAAGGGCAAGGAGGAAATGAGATTTCTCCGTGCCTATTAGGATGCAGATGTTCACTTAGGGAATGGGATCTTGCTTTACAAAATTTTGTCAGAGACATCCTTGTTAGAGGGCTGGATTGATACTCACCCACCACAGATTTTTTGTTTTGTTTTGTTTTTTATGGTGGTGGTGGCACCTAGGGTTGAATCCAAGGACACTCTACCCCTGAGCTACACCCAGCTCTTTTTATTTTATTTTGAGACAGTTTCATGTAAATTGCCTAGGCTGGCCTCGAACTTATAAATGTACTGTTGCATCACTGTAAATGAATCCCCATTTTTAAGTTTCCACATTCAGTTCTTTTGACAGTCTCCTTGCCCTTCTCTGTAAGTTTTGAAAATTGTGCACAAACCCATAAATGTGATGTCATAATGGCATACATAAAATTTAAATCCCAGTTCTGCCGTTCATTGACTCTTAACACCTTTATCAAGTTATTTAACTTTCCTCATGTGCTTGCTGAGCCTTAATTTTACATCTATTAGACAGAGACAGCCCCAGTGCTTAGTTCTTTATTTGTAAAGACTAATTGAATAAGACATCAGAAGTGGGTAGTGCTTTGGTTACTTTCTGAGTACTGGAACAAAATACCTTCATGCCCACAAGTTAAAGCTCACAGTCTGTAGTAGGGTGGCTCCAAGGCAGAGCAAGATGGCAGAGGAGAAAGAGTCCATGGCATGTTAGGCAGAAAAACACAGCAAGCAGCTGTCTTCTTTTCTTTTTATTCTATCCAGGCTACACGCCTATTGGTCACACACAAAATAGATCTGTCATAAGTAAATCCATTCAGTCACACCCAGAACTATAGCAATCCAGTTAGAGGACTGATCCGGGTATCACATTTTTAATCCAGTATCACACACTCATGACGCAGCCACCTCCCTAAATCTACACCTGTGAACAGCTAAGGCTTTGGGGGATATCTAGATATAAACCATAACAGGAAGTAAGTCTGTGCCCTGCTGCGAGTGCCCCATAAGTCTTATAAACTCTAAAATTATATTGGGCACCTCTTTTACATTCATGCTTATCCTGGTTGATTTGATTCAGGACATGATGGAAATGAAAGAATCCTTTTGAAACCCCAAATAAATAAAACACTAATACTTTATAAGGCTGAAAACTATATTAAAACAAATTATATACCATTTTACACTATGCAAAATGTGCTTTTAAAAAGTACTCACTGAGTATTCACAGAAGTTTCCCATAAGTTAATAATCACCAGTAGTGTGAACCTTGTAACTCAGTTTGAGCACCTGACAACACACTTACCCTTCGTAAACTCAGTGGAGGAAAATGATATAAATATGTAGTTTTATATGAGGTAGACACACATTTATTTCTTTTAAAGAAAAATTTCAGGAATTGTTACTAAGCTTATACATAGTCTTAAAACCTCTTGTCCAACTGTATCTGTGGAGCGTCCAGATTTCTGAGCGCTGATGGTCTTCCAGGTGGCACTGCCTAAGAGGCCAGGAAGACCCAGCTCTTTCCAGCCTTTCCCCAGATAGCTCTTCATCAGTTTCCCTGGTGATGTCCTGTTCAGTAATTGGTAAACATAAAAAATAATAGTACCCGTATCAGCGGTCTAATTCTTAGGAGGACAGACTAAGCAAAGGTTTCATTACAGAAAAATGTTAAATAAATTTCATTTTGTCAGTTTCTGTAATGAAGAGATTATAGTTAGCATTCTTGTCACTTATTTAAGGAAAAGCATTTATTAAATACTTAGAAACTAGAGTAGTATATCACCGTTTTCCATGGACAAAACCCAGAAATGTTAGATAATGAAGAATTTGTGATTTTTGACCCCTCTTATAGTAACAGTGATGGAAATTTGGGAAACATATGCTGGCAGTGCCTTGGGATCACAACAGCCAACCATTTTTAAGATGTTTAAAGTAGGGGAGATAACTTAAGTTTAGAATGATCAGAAGCTTCCCAGAGATCTTTATACAGCTGGTCAGACTCCAGGGCCTCTCCTCCTCCACAGTTAAAATGAAACAGTTAATTTCCAAGGTTCCTTATAGCTTCAGCATATCCTGGTTGCTGTTTGGTAACACCATTTCCAAATACACAAGTAGTCCTTTCCATGTGTTGGATGGTATGTGGGTCTGCTGCCTGAGCAGAAGCAGGATAGTCAAGAAAGGAGAAATGCCTGAGGCCTACAGCCTTGCATGTTAAGAAGCAGGTGAGCAGTGTTTCTCAGCAGGAACAGAAGCAGGGCATCTTTCATCAGCATAGTGCCTACAAGGCCTGCAGAGGAGACCAGGTGGCTGACAGCTAGGGAAGAGATGCTGATGGTCTGGACCAGAGGAAGCAAAGGCTAGCTTACAGGTTAGACAGTATCCCAGACATTAAGATGTCCAGCAATAAAGTGCAGCACTGTCTGTCAAATTGGCTGACTTTCTAAAATTGAACACTTTATTATTAGTGTGTCAACTTGCTATTTGTTGTTTTAAATGCAGATGCATGGGCTTTTCATTGTTGCTTCTGTTGCTGTTCCTAGAGAAATCACAAAGTATTACTTGTGGATCCTTTATCCAAAATGCTTGGGCCCTGAAATGTTTGGGGTTTTGCATTTTTTTCAGAGTTTGGAATATTTGGATACGCAGTCAGATAGCTCAAGGATGAGACCCAGGTTTAAATGTGAAACTCGTTTCTGTTTCACATGTACCATATAACCAGAGCCTAAACAGGGCTGCCCAGTGTTTTGGAGACCAAGCACCCAAAATGTAATCCAGATCCAATTCTTTATCTCAAAGTGTCCACACTAGAATTAAGCCTGAATGTTGAGATTTTATTTAGAGAAAACAACTTACATACGTGGTTTGTGTGCCAGTTGGGAGCTTCTGCACGTCATAGGTTAGCCACCCCTGGCCTGGAGGTATCTTTATGCTCTATTTTGAGTACACGTGCATTTTGACTGCAACCTGTCAACCAGCAGTCAGGCATAGAATTTTCTATTTGCGGGGTGATGTTGGTGTGCACAAAGTTCCAGACTTAGGAGCATTTTGATTTCAGGTGTTCGGATCAGGGATGCTGATCCGAACCTGTACTAGCTGTGTTGGTCAGGGTGGGCTAAGCCACCGAACAAATACCTCCCTTTCGTTCAGTGTTCGGAGGAGTAAGAGGTTTGATTCACACTAACACTGAAGGAGGATATTCTGGGTTAGTAGCAGCTCTCCTTGTGTTTATACATGGGGACACCGCCTCCTTGCCTCACATGCCTCTCCTAGGGCCCTGTCATCATGCACAAGGTCAAAGCTGGACGCCCCAGTTCTGGTGGGAGGAAGAGGAAGGAGGAGTAGCGCTGCTGTGTCTTAAAGTCCCTCCATGCATAATCTGTTGGCCAAGTTATGAACCATATAATCCAAGATAACTGTAGAGAAGTTTGGAAAATGCACTTGTGGCCTTGTCTTCAGACAAGGAGGCATGGAGGCATGGGTTTAGATGGCCAGCCAGTAACGTCTGTTACTTTCGTGGTAGGTATCAAGGAAAATAGTAGATCTACTGTAATTTTTCCTAAAAAGATTGAAACTGGACATTAAAATGAGGGTGCTGTTTGTATCTGATAAGTGACCCTCAACCCAGACTAATTCACCCTTTTATCTTGCCGTATTCTCTTTATCTTGCATTTTTCTTGTCTGCCTTTTTGATAAAGAGAAGTACATTCAGTTATTGGGAAGGTCACTGAGACTTTTGAAAAGATGTGAATCTGAGCATCCGACCTCCCATTCCTGGTCGCAGATCCTGTAGTCCATTTGTGCCGACACATTCAGTCTTGAGACTTTAGCACTAGTCAGCCTGATTTCATCACTAGCAGAGTATTTTCCTAAACTAGAAGTTGTCAGTTTCTGGGGGGAGCAGTTTTGCCTCTTGAAACATCTTGGTTTCCACAGTTTGTGTTGGGAGGTCATGTATCTTGCCCCAAATCTACAAAGGGTGTAGAGTCGGGCTTCAGACAGGAGGCTGGCTGGTCACAGGGATGGCAGCAGGATTCGGAGGGTGGTGTGAGGTGAGCTGGTGGCTGAGAGCCCAGGTCAGGGGAGGGCTGACCATGATAGGAAGCAGTGCCCAGGGCCGCAGCCAGCGGGTGAGCTGAAGACAGAAGCTGGCAGAATTGCCAAACTAGCAGGCTGAAAAGAGGACCTGGTCTGGGGAAAACCCAGAGTCTTGACTTGGTGCTGTTAACCCATATAAGAACAGGTTTCTAGAAAAAGAAAAGTCTTCATTTCAGGCCTGTGAGCATATAGCATATGCAGAAGGAATGTTACCCATGGCAGACACCTGTGTGCACCTCAGGGAAGCTGGCTGAGACCACAGGACTCAGGAGTCGCTGAGTATTCTGGTCAAGGGGCCACTGGCTGTTCTCGAGAAAATGGACTAATAATGAAAAGTCATGTCCTTTTTCTCTCTCTTTTATCTTTTTGTGGTACGGAGGGTTGAGCCCAAGACCTTCACACTGAGCTATGTCACCACCCTTTTTAATTTTCTTTTTCTTTTTTTTTTTGTGGTGACACAGGGTCTCATTAAGTCACTGAGTTGCCCGCTGGGCTGGGCTCAAGCATGCATTTGTCTTGCCTCAGCCTCCCAGCAAGCTGAGGAGGCATGGGCCACCATTGCCTGGCTACACTGCTTCACTTTCTTAGAAGTGTCCCTGGAGTTCAGATGCTCTGCATGTGATATTTCCAATTTCCAGGAGAGCCCCACAGGGAGGAAATCCTGCCCCATTTTAGAGGAGGGGATTGAGAATGGTATCACTCGGTAAAGTCACACCGCTCACAGGTGGCTGAGCCTCAGGGACCGTAGTTGGACTCCAGAGTCCCACATTGCACCATGTCATATGTCAGACAGTTAATGAATTTCACCATGTCATATATCAGACCATGACAATAAGTCAGACAGTTAATGAATTTCAGGCAGGACAAAATTAGCTTGAGCCAACACAGAACCTTTTGACTATGGAACTTTTGATGATGAGTATTTGCAGATATAATGTTAGCTGGGGTTAGTGTCAGAGTAACTGAGGAGAATGGGTAAGGTTTAAATGAATCAGAGCTGGCACTGAGTTGAAACTGCAGATGAGTCATGAATACAGAAAACTTCCTTATATCATTCTTTGTGGTGTTTTCAGATGTTTTCCAAAATAATAAGTTTTTAAAGACATTTGGATGAAACAGTTGGGGAAAGAGCATTTGTTTCCAGAGTCAAAACATCTTGTGTTTGAGGTTACCCATGCCAGGTACCCCTGATGCTCATATTTAAGGAAAGGCATTATTTAGAATGCTGTTTAAGAAACACACTGTTTAGACAATATGCTTTGACTTGGGGCTCTGGCATTAATCCTTCTGAACATAAAAGAAGTTGGCAAATTGTCCAATGTGCCCCTCGTTCCATGTTTTCTTGAATAGCTTGAAGCACCATGTGTATAACCAGGAGTGTCTGGAAGGTCCTCCCACCATGCTGGAACAATTAGGAGAGGAGGCAGCTGACTTTGGAGAATGCCACCATTTTTGGACCTGCCCTCCACCCTTATCAGCTGTGTTAAACATGGACCTAGCTGGCGACAGGGAAGTTATTTTTCCTGTTTGTAGAGAAGCCATCTCTCACCCTTCTGGATAAAAAGAAGTCCCTGTCTCTTAAGATAAACCCTCCATGTACACTCAGTGAGAAAATGGCCTGAAAAACATAAAAGGCCATAAATACTAGGGAGGTAGATTGAGCAATATAGAAAAATAAAACATAGTAACATATAAAATTATAAATAAGAGGGCTTCTTTGTAGTTGAAATGTCTCATTCAAGGTCAGGAATTAAGTTGTCATAGCCCTTTGTAAGTTTAGCTTGATAGAAGTTTGTTTTTTCTATTTAAAGACCATGCAGTATCCTTTGTGAATGTTAACAGTTATTCCTGTTCCTTAGTCCCTGGCTGTCCATAGCCCTTGGAAAAGAATGAAATCACTGAACAAAAGGGGCAGGGAACCCGAGTTTCCCAATGGTACAGACCAACAGCCTCTACTTCCATGTGTGTGTTAGGCCTGGTCTCCAAAAGAAGTCTACCCAAAGAAATGAGGTGATTGTGTCCAGGGCTACTGAGCCTAGTCCTTGGCTGCCTCTGGGTTATTCAGAATTGTAATTTTCCATGTCATCTACATTTGTAATAATTCTGCAGTATGATAGAGTTTCAGGGAACAAACATTCTGCTCGCTGCATTTCTTCTGCGTGAGTAATTCCCTGACAACTCCCAGATCTTGGAAGGAGCAACCTGGTCATAACCTGTGCTGACTTCCAGCATGGTAAAAACCTATGATGCGTAACACAGTGCCTTTGAATTCAAATGCTGATTTTCCTAAAGGAAAAGAAGGAAATGAAATGAAATACTCAAGTTTAGGTGAAGAACTGATGTGTATTGTAAGATCCAAAAATGCAGAACACTAATGATGAAATCATTTCTTCGAAGGGAGAGACTTTTTCCTTCTCTTTCTCTGGTGAGATTGCAGCTTAATACTCTGTGAGCTTCAGTTACTAAAGAGCTGAGATCTGTAGAATAAAAAGCACTAGGCATTTGCAGGGCCCAGGCTGGTTTCCATCACAGCCAAGCTGATCTTACTGAGAGGATGAAGAAGTTTGTCTTTTTTGGAAAACTTTAAGGTTCTTCCAAAGAACTAACCATGTCACTTGACCACACTGTTTATCACCAGAGGTTTGGGTGGCCACCGTGGCTACATGCTGGTTGAATCCAGAACTGGAACTCTCTCCAGCAGACTCCTGTGGCTTATGTCAGCTTCACCCAACATTTTTTCCATCTGCTATAACACAGAATGTGGCTGCTGATCAAGATGGATGGGTTGCCTCTTTTAATTTGAAAAGCGTATATTAATTGGAATTTTATGAATCAGTTAAGCCAAGCAGGCTTAGAGCAGGCAATCCCTACACTACACTCGTAGGACCAAGATGAGCACAGAGCAGCCCTTCTGCCAGTGTGCTGGTCACTTGATGGGTGTTTGCAAATTGCCACGTCTCACCACCCAGAACTTGTTCAGCTGGTGGCTTCTGTGGCCTCTTACCAAGTACTCACGTCACCGTCTTAAGTGGGTTGGTTGTTGGATGGTGGGTCATGTCCTTGTTCACATACAAAGAGTTGTGTGTTATGCGCGGCAGCTCACTCTCCTCTTTTAAGCCAGCCTCGTTTCCTGCCCTCTTGGTTTTTACTCATTTGCTAGTGATCTTGGGAGCTGAGAAAGTGACCAGATCCCTGCCTTGTATTTTGCACATTTTGCTTAGCACGTTCTGAAGTATAAAGCACAGCTGCTATATCCGTTGCACAGTTGCATTTAGAGTTGGCTAAAATACCTACCTTCGTGTGTATCCGTATTTCTGTGTGAGAACCTCTCTTGTGCTCTACACTCCTTGTTTCGTGGTTTTTTTTTTTTTTTCTCTTTTGCTATTCATGAGCATTCTTAAATAAAGTAACATCATTTTCTCCCACTCTGTTGTGAAGGTCTCTGGGGAACGAGGCTCCTGGAGGACAGCAGCACTGACCGAGAGAAATACCTGAAAAGCGTTTTGCGGGAGCTGGTCACATACCTGGTTTTCCTGGTCATCTTGTGCATCTGTAAGTAGACTGCTTCTACCCACTCCTGCAGAGGCTGAGACGTTTGGCCTGGCAGAGTCATAATTAAGAGGAAGCGTATCAGCAGGTCAAATCAGCAGTTTCCTTCTTTGCTTCATTTCCAATTTAGAATTTGGTAAAGGTTCTCCCACTACCACCTTGGCAAACACTGTGAGAAAAATCAGATTTATCTGACTGGCTAATTCATTGTCACCTGTGACCATTTTCACTCTGAGAAGCAGGTGGCAACCTGTCAGATATGAAGGACCTGATTAAAAGGATTTAGCATCTCACAACAATAAATAACCAGAGCAGTGCACATCAAAAGTCAGTGTAAGAACCATTTGCAGTAGAGTCAGTAGATTTTCCAAGTCTAACTTCCAGGAAAGGCAAACAGTGCCCCTAATACTGCTTTTGTTAACATGGCTTAAGTCTCCTGTTGGATGTGGACATGGTGTGTCAGTTACACTGCTGTAGTTTATTATTTCTTCCAAATCTTCAGTTGTCACGGACTTTGCCTCTGCAGGAAACAGCAGCAAACCCAGGCCCAGGTCTTTGCCCTGTAATAGTCTCTTCCTTCTGTGTGTCTGTCCTCACATCTGCGGACAGGGAAACCAGTCTCAAACATTTGCTTCCCAGTCCAGGAAGTCGCAGGGGAAGGACTTGGCCTGAGGCTCAGACAAGTGGGGGATGCGTTTCCATCGTGCCGCCCTGGCACCCTGTAAGGCAGCAGTCTAGAAAGCGGTTTCGTGATGCCTGCCCACCCCTAATTTCACCAAACTCCTCTGTGATATATGGAGAGAAACAGAATTTAATTGACGCTGTAGTAATACCATTCTTCATGTGTTACAACTGATCTTCCTGAATTCAAGTGCTGAAAGCAGCTTTTAAAGTTTACCCTAGATATATGGAAAAACAAAAGATACCTTGAACATACAAGATCAAGGAAACCTTTGAGTTTCTGTGTTTGTAATTGCAATCGATCGAACATTAAAGACCCCATACAGGTTTTCACTGCTCCTAATATGCTTTAGCAGGACATGTCTTCTTTTCACATGTTCTGAGATTTTGCCTACCCAAGTAGAAGCTTGGGGAAAACGTGTTATTTAAACTACAATTATGTATATATAAACAAAATCACCTTATTTTTTTCTTACTAATTTTGAAATTTTCTGTTACTTATTTAGAAAAAAACATAGTATACTTTTAAAAATAATTATTTTTTTAAAGAAAATGGATGATTTTTTGTCCTTTTTAAAATAGCTTTATAGAGGTGTAATTTACACATCCTAAAATTAATCTATTTAAATAACCAATTCACTTCTTTTTTTTTAAGTGCACAGAGTTGTGAAACCCTCACAATTCAATTTTATAGTATTTTTATCACTTAAAGAGTATCTCCTAGTCTGTACTTTGTGGACTGCATTTGGTGGTCAGATCTTTTTTCCTTCAAATGTTGCCATCATCCATCCATCCACCTCCTAACTTTCAGCTCACTGCCTTCTGCTGGGTTTGTTGGTGTGCTTTGTGGGGAGATAGAGGAGGAGTTTGGTTTTGTTCCTTTTGACTAATAACTCCTCCCTCTATCCCAGCTACTGACCTGTCTGCTTCTGTAAGTTCAGTGTTAGATTCCTCATAAAAGTGACATATTTTAAAGCATGTTACATAACACAGAAGTGCTAACAAGCTAGAAATGAGCTACATACTAAAATCATCAAGCAAGTGCTGTGGTATTATAAACTTTGATGCTCTAAACCTTTAAAATGCTGAAGTTGCATTTGCTCCTCAGTGTCATTCCTGCATAGAAATGATAGTTACTCATATGACACCGTAGGCCCTGAAATACTAACAGGTTAGTTAGGATTACTAAGCTTTTTTAAGCATTACATATACATATATATTTCTTATGCAACATAGTTTACCGCTGTAAGCCTAGAATTTCAGTGGTCCCTAAATTACCTGAGCAAGAGAATTACCAAAAAGGTTTTGAAAAATTATAAATGGTAAGAATTATAGAGTCTTCAAGATGTGGCCAAGAGATCTGAGTTTTCATATGCACAGGTAAGATCAGGAACTAGGCCAGAGAAGTAAAATGAAACTGTACAGCATACATAGGAAACCTGCCTGAAGTCTCAGTGGTTTAGAATGTTTATACTTTTCCCCTGATCCACTCTGCCTGTGTTTCTTTTTATTGGTGAATTGAGGCCATCTACATCAATGGTTATGGCCAGAATGCACTGGCTCTTCTCTGCCATGCTGTTTTCCTGCTGTTAGTTGTCTGTTTTTCCCCTCCATTCAGTTGTCTGCCCCGCTTGGTGAGCCCCCTCTGCCTCTGTTCTTTTTATCCCTCTCTAGAATGCCCTTCAGTATTCTCTGTAGGGTTGGTTTAATGATCATGAATTCCTTCAGTTCCTCTTTGTCATGAAGGCATCTTGTTTCTCCATTAATTTTGAATGGTAGTTTTTCAGGGTACAGCAACCTGGGTTGGAAGTTGTTTTCTTTCAGGATTTGAAATACTTCACTCCAAGCTCTTCTTAACTTGATGGTTTGTGTTGCAAAGTCTGTCATGATTCTGATTAGTTTTCCTTTGTAGGTGATCTATTTCTTTTCTCTAACAGATTTTAATATTCTGTTCTTGTGTGGAATTTCTGGAATCTTGATTACTATATGTCTGGGTGTATATCTATTTTGGTTATGGCTGGTTGGAGTTCCATATGCCTCACTTATCTGTATACCATGTCCTTTTCCTATGTTTGGGAAGTTTTCTGCTATTACTTCTGTAAATAGGATTTTAATGTCATTTGTGTTGACCCTGATTCTTCACTGACACCTGTTATTCTTAAGTCATTTTGCTTTGTGTCATCTTGCAGTCATAGAATTGTTATTTCCTGGTTCCTTGTTATTTTTAAGAGATCTTTCCTTTCACATAAGCTGCACATCTGTCTTCAAAGTCTGAAAGTCCATCTTCAATTTCTTCCAAGTAGTTTTGCCAAGTTTCAGTGGAGTGTGTAAGGTCCTGGATATCTCTTTGAATCTGTTCCATGCATTCTAAATCTCTCTTATATTGTTTATTCATACTTTCCCTCATTTTCCTGTGCTCCTCTGTTTTTTTATCTATGTCTTCTTTAGAGGTACTTAACAATTCTTTATGTTTTTCATTTCTTCTATTACCTGAGACAGTATTTCTATTCTGATGTCTTTTATGGCCTCATGAAATTGTGTCTTCACTTCATTTGCCATTAATTTGGAAATTTCAGGTGTGTGACTCCTGATCTCTTCCATGTTTTCATCTCCTGGACTTAATCGGCTTGGGTTGGAGTTTTCTTGGGTTCTTCAAACAAGTGGGCAGTGAGGTCCCAGGCACTTCCTACATTGGCTACAATTTCTCAGGAGCATGACTGTTTGATTCTCCTGGCCAGTTCTGACTACAGGTATCCAACGATGGTCAATGAGTGTGATGGTACAGGGCCGGCTGCTGTATTTCCCAGCCTGTGTTGGCTACCTGGGGTGGAAGTGTCCAGGTGGCTGCTGGAGTGTGTTCAGGGGCAGAGCTGGCTGCTGCCTCCCCACCGAGCTGGTTACCTGCGGGAAGTGTCTTCTGATGGCTGCTGGAGTGCACACGAGGGCTGTGTCTTCAGATTAAATACCTTTTTATCAGATTCAGTAGACCAAAACTCACTTTATATGCTCATCTGTCAAATGATTTTAATACCACTAACAACACCTTTCTAAAAACATTTTGTTCCTCATATTTTCTAGTTACTTTATTTTTAACTTGATTTGGAGTAGGTATCTTATAAAATTGTAGAGAGGGAATTTCTAACCAATTATCTAAACCTTCTCACCTTGTAAGAGTATAACCCATCCAACATTTCATATTTTTGTCAAATTTCTGTCTTTTCTCTCTTTTTTGTACTTTCTTGTTTTCAGTTTTGTTTTTCTTAGCTTGGAGATTTTTCCTTTGCTTTTTTATTTTAATAATTGGGATTTATACAGTAGACACCATTCCACAGTGCTCCATTTGAATCTGTAGTTTTCAACAACAGCTATAGTAAAATAGCACCCATTAGCTGTTTCGGAGAGACAGACTATGACTTACAGGTAGCTTTGGTTCCTACATGTGTTGCTGTTTTGGTGGTCTATGCTTTAACACATTTGTTCTGGCTTAGGTGATGGAAATATGGAAGCTCCTGGGTTAAGGCAAGAGCTAAAGTCCTAACTCGCACACAGAATATGCATGCATCATTCACCTCATTGAGGTTAACATTTCACACAGAAGCATCGTTCTTCACTGCCCATTTCATCTAGAGAAAGTGTACACTGTTCCCCAGAGCTTCCTCCTTGGGTACCAAAAGGAGAAAGGACAAACCGATCTTGTTTCCACTGGATTTCACCATGTGTGAATGTGTGCAAATGCATAGTGTACATTGCTTCAGTTGGGTTTCATAAAATCCCTGGACAGTGTTGTCATCACTTTCTAGATAACACAGTTTAAGCCCAGGAGACCTGATACTGAAACAAAAGGACAATGTGAGAACTGAGGAAGGCAACTTTTATCATACCTGCAGGCTGGCAGGACAGAGTCCAAATCACCAGCCTTGGCTCAGAGTGAAACAGAGACTTATATACATTTTGGAAGCAGGAAGTACAAAGCTTATAGCAGGTTATTGGTTACACATTGCTCTTTTAATGCTCCGAGTGCCCAGGGATTGTCAGGCAGATTTCTTAAACAAGTTTACTTACTAGGAACTGTTTATCATAAAGCAGGTACATTCTAAGAAGGAGGGAAAATTTTGAGTGGATCAGGTAAAGCTGCATATGTCCTTGATTAGACCTGTCTGTCTTAGCTATAAAGTCCTTAAACTATGTTGGGAAAACCGGAGATAGATATATAGATACATGGATTTTTTTTTCTTAGCTAGGAAAACACACATCACAGCTGGGTGCAGTCAGGTTGACCTAGTGACTCTCTGGGGGAAGCAGCTGGGTACAGACAGTCAAGGCCTTGTGAGTGCAGCAGTCCAGATATGGGACCAGCAGCACGAGCATGGTCATAGTCACAGGCTACTAACTGATTTTTTAACTTCTGCTGTGAGATGTCTGTAAGTGTGCTGTTCTCTAACTTTGCTCTTACACCAGGACACCCAGACACAAGTCATCAACTCAAAAGTAGATACTGAGGACAGAGCAGAGGTGAAACCCTAACCCAAATTGGTGACTCCAAATCCAGAGGTCATTTAGTTACCCCTGATGTGGCCTCGTGGTGCAGCTGACTCCTGGTGTGTGTGACACTGTCACTCTAGGACATCTGGAGCAGCTACAAGGAAGGCTGGGAAGGGAGAGAATACATGTCTGCAGACTCCACAAGTAACAGTGAGGATCCCTCCAAGCTGCAAGGCCCTGTCCCTGCTGTCCAGAAGGTGGCACCCCATACCTGAGGGGTTTGTTGATTCCCTGTGAGTGGAGCTGGAGCATTAAAAGAGCAAAAGTCTATACTGCAGTTAAAGCACAGCGAGAAACTGAAGGAGATATGCTTTTAAATCAGTGGCAAAAACATTTACATATTTATATATTGCTGTACTCTATTTAAAAGTAAAACAATTTTAAATAATTCATCAGAATCCTTTACAATAATAACAAGCCCTTTGAAAATGTTTGTTATTGGGAGCTGGGGATTTAGCTTAGCGGCATAAGTGCCTGCCTTGCAAGCAGGCAGTCGTGAGTTCGATTCCTGGTACTGATAAAAAGGAAAAAGACAAAAAAAAAAAAAAGAAAGAAAGAAAATGTTTGTTATTTTTATCTTTTTTCTCTTTAAAATAAAAAAAACAATAATAGCCCACATGGACTGGTCTTTAATTAGCCAGGTTGTCCTAGGCATGTTGTAAGCTGATGTTAACTGAAGGTGATGAACTGACTCCTGCAGGTGGCTGTGGGTGCCTTTGATCCTTATCTCCATGTCAGCTTTGCCCCATCATGAGCTCTGAGCCACCAGAGACCTCAGCAGCTGCAGGTCCCCGCATCCATCTCAAGTGGTAGTTAGGCCGGGGCGACTGGCCCTGGGCACTCGGAGCGCCTCTGGAGGGAGTGGTCACTCCGCTTCCTCTTTGTCCCCTGTCTGTCCCACGGGTGTGGGTGGGTCAGGGCTCTAACCCTTAACTCAGGTCCGGTACAGTCTCATGACCCCTGAAGAGCCCTGGTCTGTTCTGGCTTCGCTGGGTAATAATGGGGAGGCTGGAAATTACAGACCCCACTAGTCATGCCTACTACCCTGAGGGATTGCTTGAGATGAAATCCTAAATGCTTCCTACCCCTGTCCTTTAATAATTCTGATCTCCTCTGATGCTTCAAAGGGAAAGGGGGATGGATGAGGAAGGATTTTATGAATAGCATTTGTTCCCCCAATAACTTAATAATTTTAATAATCAAAATTTTAATAGATTTTTATAGAGGTATTTTATCTATCATCTGTCTATCTATAACAGATATATAGAGATATTTACGATAGGTCAGTATTTATCACCTGCTGGTGTTCAGAGCTGTATTTAAAGAAGTATACTCAAGGGACATAGCTCTGGGTCAAATATAGCATCTGTGCAGCGAGTGTGAGGCAGGAGGCCCTGGATTCAACCCATACTGTTTCCCCTGAAGCTGTTTTGTTGGCTAACTGCAGGAATTACAGCACATCACACTGTAAATCAGTTCAGCATGCGACAGTAGTTACTAAGGTGCTGAAATGTGCAAGAGGTGGGCTGCAGCAACCCAGTTAGGGAAAGGCATCATTGCTAGGTATTTAAGGGTCAGCTGCTGCACTGGATGAAACTTTAGTTGTTTTTAGGTAAAAACCGAAAGCTCCTATGGAGTGGTTAATTATCCATTTTAAAGAAGAGGAAACGAGGCTCATGCAGTTTAAGCCTCTTGCCCAGCTTGCCCGTCAGGAGCGTGGCCAGGACTGAAGCCCTGGGCCCCTGGGAATCATCTTCCCATCCCGTCCAGGGCATCTGGTCTGATGCCAAGTGTCCCTGGGTTTAGAGGCCACAGGGACCTGATTTAGGGTAGACAGAAGCAGGGGTGCCTGTGTCGTCTGGCTCCTGGAAGGAAAGAGGTGGTAACCAAGGTGGCATTGGCAGAAGTGCAGAGGAGGGACACTGCAGGATTGGCAGGGACAAAGGAGGGACCAGGGCACCTGCAGCACTCGGGGTCACCTCCAGACCAGGGAGGGAAGGGCAGTGTGGGGTGGGAATGAGCCCCAGCAGTTTGGCCCAGGCTGGGGGATCCTTCCATCCTGCTCCAGATGGAGAGAGGATGGCGCAATGGATGAGGAGACAGCCCACAGAGGGTGTCAAGTGATAGATACCCACAGTGGTCAGCCTCGGGAACAAAGCAGGCCAACAGTGTGGGGGAAGCAGGAAGGCTGCCCGTGTCATCATGGGGATGAGAAGCAGCACAGGACACAGCCACAGCTCACACTGGGGCCAGGGGATAGTAACCACTGTGAGAAGCCTGCAAGCCACGTTCACTGATGTCAGTAATTCTTTTTAAAACCAGAGGTAGGGGTATCCCAGGGGGAGAAAGCAAGGGTGACAGAGACCATATGTGTGTCCACCTCAGATGTCCCTCTCCAGGACCAGTTCCTGTGTGCAAGTCCCCAGCAGCTCACCATCCTCTTTCTGTCCTCCAGTGACCTATGGCATGATGAGCTCCCATGTGTACTACTACACCCGGATGATGTCACAGCTCTTCCTAGACACCCCCATTTCCAAAACGGACAAGACTAACTTTAAAACCCTGTCTTCAACAGAGGACTTCTGGAAGGTATTTGCACGTGACTTTGAAAGTCTGTGTTTCTCCTGCAGAATTGGGCATTCAGTATCACAGATTGAACTCAAGAATACATTCAGAGTTTGCAGCATGTTTATCACTGTGTAAGATGCTAGACAGTACCGAACTGTTGGAAGTTACACCTCGAAGCGGTACAGTTACATTTCTTGAGATCTTGAAGGTCAGACGCTGCACCGTGCTGAGCTGTTCACACCTTGTCCTGTCTAATCCCTAGAGTGACCTTAAGGCCTGGTACTGATACTACACTTAGTTCGTTTGCAGATGAGACCTAGATGCTTAGACGTGCCAGGCTGCATAACTAGCAACACAAGAGGTGGGTTTTTTCTAGCATGACAGCCTGAGATTCATTATAGATTATAATACAGACATTCGCTATTGAATATCAATTGCATATCTTCTAGGATGTAAAGCTCAAGAGTTTGTTTTCTGTGACACTGTTGTGTTTTGTGTCTTTGTTAACAAGGGTCTGTGTCCCCAGCTCCTAGAAAGGCACCTTCTTTCACAGATCTACTGATGTAAAATTGAAACCAGCCCCTTCTCTGGTTGTCACAAATTCCTGCGTAGCAGAGTCTGAGCAGTGACTGATACCATGCGACAAATACTCTGTGGTGCTTGGAATCTAAGAAATTGGAAAAGAAATAGTAGTTCCTCCCTGGTAAACAGTTTGCAAAGTTCTTACTAAGCCTTGGGGTCAGAGCTGTTGATCTGAAGCCTAGAGGAAGCAGAGCCATGGGAACTGATTAATGTTTAACAGCACTTACTCTCCAAGCTCACATTCCTTACTGCTGACCTTTCTCACCTCAGTGGGGCTGAGCAGTCTGAGCAGGACCGCGCCTGAGCAGAGGCCAGGTCTGTGCCCCCTAAATGCAGGACACAGTGTGCAGAATAACCAAAGCTGCGCTCTGAGGATGTGGGGAGGGGAGAACGGTTCCCCATATAGACAGCCCCACTGGCAGGCTGGTGCTGGAAACCTACCTTTCTCTGCAGTCAATTTCAGAACCAGACTTGCGAGGGGTGCTGGTTTCACAAGGGAAGGTGAGGTTAGTGGTGGGTGTGGATTTATCCAGCTCCCCCACCACACTCCGCTTAGACCCAGGGGGGGAGTTAGCATCCCCCTTCTCAAGTGTCTGCCCCGTGCCAGGTGTGGTGATCCACAGCCTCTGGGTCTCCCCTCCAGATGTGGAGACCTTGGTGTAAAGGGTCCTCTGCAGGCCTCACAGCTGGCAGAAGACAGTGAAACCCAGGACCAGATCTCTGAACACACAGCCTGCTCCCCAGCTGTCACGGGTGCCGGTGTGGAGCACGCAGAGCTTCTGGGAAGCCCGAGCAGGCAAGAGCCTTTGTCCAGTGCCTCTTCACTTTCAGTTCACAGAGGGCCCCCTGCTGGACGGGCTGTACTGGAAGGCGCAGCCCGGCGCCCACTCAGAAACAGACAACCGCAGCTTCATTTTCTATGAGAACCTGCTGCTGGGGGTCCCACGCATCAGGCAGCTCAAAGTCAGAAACGGATCCTGCTCCATTCCTCCAGACCTTCGAGATGAAATCAAAGAGTGTTATGACGTCTACTCGGTCAGCAGTGAAGACAGGGCCCCTTTTGGGCCCCGTAACGGAACTGCGTAAGTATATGTGACATTTGGTTGGCCTCTGGCCACATGGAGGCTTGGGCCAGACCGACCTTCGCCATCTCCGCTCCTCTCTCCTCAGTCCCCTTTTAGTTTCTGCAGCTATTTTCAGAAGGCTAAGTTGTTGGCTGTCTGTGCCCCCAAAGACATTATCTGAGCCTTCCAGTGCTTCATTTAAAATGCTCAGGCTCTGTTCTCATGGTATCATCAATTAAGGTTCCTCAGTAGGAAATTTTCTCATACAGAAAAATTTTTAGTAGCCTTTAAAAATAAATTTTTATTTAAAAATACAGTTATTTAAAGTCTAATTAATTTTATTAATGTACTAGGTGTACACCTGTGTGGGGTCCAAAACAGTAACCCAAACCAAGTATGCAGTGTTGATCGATCAAGTCAGGCTGGCTGGTACTTCCATCCGATTAAACCATCAGCGTCTCAGGCTGGGGCCTTCAGTCTCTTTTGGTCACTGAACCATAGGTCGTAAACCGCTGTACTCTGTTGCCAGCTGCTGTGCTGGGGGCAGGCCCACGTCCTCCAGCTGGCTGTGTCTTGGCCCTCGCCTGATTTTCCCTGCCTCCCGCAGTAGCTTTCCTAGACAGGAGTGGAACCTTCTCCAGGGCCACCCTCCCCCCCCCATGCAAGTGGCAGAATCTCCTTTCTGGCTTGTTGAGTAGCAGCATCTTCCCTGGACACTGAAGGTGGGAGCTGGAGCAGAGAGTGCGGCTCAGAGGTAGAAGGCTCATCCAGCATGCCTGAGGCCTGGGGTCTGTCTCAGTTTCGCAGAGAAAGAAAGAAGTGAACAAGACCCGTGTCGGTGGTTTAAAGCCCATGCTTCCCTAGTTTATTTGGGTTACATGAGTACATGTGCACTGTGTACTTCACTGCCCATATCTAGAATACTTGGGATATTAAGGGCAGTTACTAGTTTTAGATTATTGCAGTTATTCCATAGAAGCTTGGTGGCATCAGGGTGGCCTCTTCGGGTGCTGCCCAGGGTGAGTTTCTGGGTGCAGAGCTGTCTTCCACACCCTGCTGAACCCACTCTTCATGTCACCTCCATCCATCTGGAACCAAGCCACCTGGAGTCCCCATGTGTTAGTTTGTAGTTGGTGGACATTTCCATGTCTGTATTCTCTGTCTGCTTCCCAGGGTTTAAACCAGCGCCTGTGAGAGACACACATAGAGAGCAAATAATCTCAGAAGGCCACTTTTCCTGGTTGTAAAAGTGATTGCACATTCTCATGCTCCTTTTATTTAGCTTCCACAAAGTATAAACACACCTCTAATCTGTGGTTCCTTTTTCAATATTGTATTTCCATCATGTCATTCAGAGAAACTGATGCAGCCATCCCTCCCTGCCATGCTGCTATTCGTACACACACCGTCTTGTCTCTCCTCACAAAATACCTCTGAAACGGGCGTTGTCTCCATGGCCATGAACAGACGAAGGCTGCCCAGTGAGGAACGAGGTGACGGCGTCCCTCTTTCAGTTGGGACTGGCCCAGGGAAGGCAGCAGAAGAACTCAGGCTGATGCTCAGGTCCAGACACAACTGCAGGTCCTCAACTCCACCCTCACAGGCTTTGAGACCCAGTTACTCTCCCTCAGCCTCAGGGCCTGATTCCTAACTAGGGGATGAGAACTCCACCATGCTTTCCTGATGTTACCTTTCCACTTCTGTCTTTCAGTTGGGTCTACACAAGTGAACAGGACTTGAATGGGAGTACCCACTGGGGGGTGATCGCAGCATACAGCGGTGCTGGCTATTACCTGGATCTGTCAAGGACCAGGGAGGAGACAGCTGGCCAGCTTGCTGGCCTCAGGAAAAACGCCTGGCTGGACCGAGGAACCAGGGCAGCTTTCATCGACTTCTCCATGTACAACGCCAACGTCAACCTGTTCTGCGTGGTCAGGTGCGTTCCAAGGCTCATGTGCCTCCTGTGGCTGGGCCCCACCTGTGTCCCTGTAGTGTGGAAGCCTTGGCTGAGCTGGCTAAGTGAGGTGCCAGAAGGGAGGGTTGAGGACATTTGGGGAAGAGACTCAGGATCCTAGAATATTGTGACTTAGAAAAAGCTGTTATGTCTGCTCCTCGTTCATTGCAAGGCTGGAAACATTCAGAAAAACTTGGTGATTTTAGCACACGATCGCAGCTGATCGGGGCTCCCACTCCTTCCCCACGTCCCCTGCTATCAGACCTTGACTCCTTCCCTCGAGTCTGCTGCTGCCAGATGGCACCCATCTATTGGGATGCGAGTTCAGCAATGAGGACCATGACCACGGACACCAGGTCCCTGCCGTGCTTGGCACTTACCCCGGGCACGCGAAGTCCTTCCTGCGGCCCTGTGAGGTCGTGTCCTGACCACTGTGGGAGACACTGAGGACACTGACAGGGACTTCCTCGCTCATCCATTCACTCACTCACTCATTCATTCATTCATTCATTTATTCCTGGGTGCCTGGTAGGTGCCCAGGCTCTGTCCTGGGCTCTTAGGACATCAAGGAGGAAAATGAGGGTCCCTCTCCTTACAGAACCTACGTTCAGTAAACAAAAGGGAGAAACAAATCTTACAGAATTTTGGATCATAATTTTTTTCTGGAAATGAAAAGCATAGAGTAAGGCAAGGGTATCTAGGCTTTACCTTGGATGGTGTGTGGGCAGCACCTAAATATCGACCACAAGGATTTCCTGCACTTAAATCTCCACACAAAATGGGGATAAGTACCAGCAGGGTCCATATTTTATCATCATTTTAGGCTAAACTTATTCTGCTTTCACGCCAGCTGCATTTTTTCCCATTGTGGTAGAAGATAGTGTCACATTAAATCAAGTTCTAGTCATTATTAGAAATGCATGAAAACCTGCTGCAGTTATCACTGAGCATTTCCCGACTTCCGTGAGGCTCTGCGGAGGATGGCAGCAGGCAGGCGACTCCGGCACCTAAGGGTCTGTTTAGAGAATGTCTTCCGTGTGTCCTTTGCCTCCTCCCCAGACTTCAGCGTGCTCACTGCCAGACCTGTCACTGTGTCTCTCTGCACTGTCTGGCAAGTTTCTGGACATGGCTGACACGTGCAGGACCACACTTGGCCAGCAAGCAGTGACCTCACTCACCAAGGTTGCTTGCTCCCCTTTGGGTTCACTCTGAAGGCACTGCTATCCTGCGAGAGAAAGCAGAGGAGCGTCATTCACTGCAAGCCCCCACCGTCACAGCTGGAGCAGCATGGGTCCTCAAGCTCAGGTCCCAGGTGTGGCCATTCCACAATGGGGCAGGTGACTGCAAGGTCATGGAGCCACACTTTCCATTTCAGTTTAATAGCAAGATGGCCCACGAAGGGAATTGTGCAAGTTTCTCATCTCAGTGCGACACCTGTAAAAAGGAAATCCCACAAGAAAAATCTTTAGTTCCGGTAGAGGAAAGCACTGAAGGTCAGGGATCCTGTGAGTGAAGACATCCCTGACATTGTTGCAGCCCCTGGGCACTCACTAAGTACCTGTGAAGAGGGGCTCTGGGAAGGAGAGAAGGGGGGGGGTGTGCAAACGACTTGGTGCCAATTAGGTACCAGCAAGTGAATGAATGAATGAATGAATGAATGGGACTCAGTTCTCAGCACTGTACATTGAAAAACAGAGAATGTCTTCTTCAAGCAGACCGTGCAGGTTTTGGTGTATTTCTTCCATTCAATATGTTTCCTAGTAGAGTGATTTGAACCCAATAGAAGTCCTAGAAAGACAGATTGGCTAACTTTTATGTGTAAGCATATTGTACAGTATTTTGAACAGTATGGATGCCCAAGAAGCCCAAGAAAGCCTGAGAAAGAAGGAATCCTTTAGGGTATGAGGTGTTGGGAAGCACAGATTCTCCAAGTATGGAGGTGTCGCCTTCTGTAAAAATAATTCATCACTAGCTGTCGGTGACCTGTAGCTGTTCTGGTGCAGGGACAGAATATGTGGCTGCTTCCCCTGGCCACACCCACATGTCCATGTTGTTTCTCTTGTTCTTATTGTAACGCAGGTTGTTGGTTGAACTCCCAGCAACGGGAGGCGTGATCACCTCCTGGCAGTTTCAGCCTGTGAAACTGATCCGCTATGTCACCTCGTTCGATTTCTTCTTGGCAGCCTGTGAGATTCTCTTTTGTTTCTTTATCTTTTACTATGCTGTGGAAGAGATACTGGAAATTCGCGTTCACAAGCTGCACTACTTTAGAAGTTTCTGGAACTGTCTGGATGTGGTGATCATTTTGGTAGGTTGGAGAACAGTGCCCATCCCCAGCTCTGTTCTAAAATGTGTTAATTACAGCCTTTAGTCTGCTCGGCCTTGTGGATCTGAATATCCTGGAAGAGAATCTAGAAGGCCCTGTCTCTTATATCAGTGTTTGTGTTACTAATTATTTTTCCATGTGCATGAGGAACCTTTCTGACTGTGAAGTGGACCAGCCTTCCTACTGAGCTCTCAATTAACTGCGCTAATCATGAGAATAACCCTAATTCACACTCATTTTTGGCATGCCATGGGGGATATGCAGAAGGTAGTTTCTTATTTTAAGGTTTTGATATTTTTCTTCGTTTGCTAGTAAAAATTAATTTACATTTTCCTGTACATGGGTCAAATGATGGCAAGAAGAAACACCGTGAACAGAAAACTCCTGCAGTCTAAAATTTCCTACAAATAGAAATAAAATTCGAGATATGCCTACCACAGTGCTTCGTGTAAGGTTCAAGAAATCAGAAGACCGTTATGTGCACAGGACTGGGACATATTTTACATGCTGCCTCTGCCCTGGATGCCTATGATCCTGAGTGCTTGTTCATTGTTTTTCTTCAGCTGAATCATTTAGGACAGAGCACTGTGGTGCGAAATGCAATTGAGGGTGTCTCTTCTTCCCTAACCTGGCCCATGTACAGTGGATTTGCACAAGCTCTTCCTCAGCAGTAACATTTCAGCTTTCACTGGATCATGTGTCCCATGTCTAATTTCTAAGCACTTAAACGATCTCATTGGAACAGCTGTGGCATTTAGTATTCGGTGTCCATGCTGCCCACTGTCCTGTCATGGACACCATACTCTGAAACCGGCCACCCCCACCTCTTCCTCAGGGCTCAGTCCATGGAGAATAACATCTTCATTATGTCCCGGAGAGCACACAGAAAGTACGCCCACCACCAGCACACACACAAGGGCAACTTGGAAACCCCTCACCAGGAAGGTGGCACAATGCTGTCTATCTATACATTTGCAGGGTACTTGCTGAAGACAGGAAAGAATGCATGACTGGAAATTACACAAGGGAGAGAAACCAGAAAATTTAAAACGAATTTTAAAACCACAAACAAAATCAGAAACCAAGATGAGGCCGAGCAAACAAGAGTAGGAAATCCTTTATGAGAGTGGCAGAAAACCCAGAAGGTGTTCCCCTTTGAATTGAGCTTGTCATGGTGTGATCTCTCCTCTGCACACTTCTGCACACATGTGTATCTGTGAGCACACACTCATAGATGCATGCACACACTGATATGGCTTCTGTTCCTAACCAAAGAGAACACAAGCAGTGTGCTTCACACACACTCTTCAGCATCGTGTGGCACTTGCACCCTTTGGTGTAGCTTTGGGTGAACACAGTGGTCAGCCCTGGACCCTGCAAGGGTAAGGAAAGAAAACTGGTTATTCTAAGGTCAGTCATTGGTCACCCACTCCAGTGAGATACAACTCTGTGCCTTCCAGCTCTCAGGGACAGCAATAGGAATCAACATCTACCAGACCTCAAGTGTGGAGGGGCTCCTGCACTTTCTGGATGATCAAAATATCTTCCCCAACTTTGAGCATCTGGCATCCTGGCAAATACAGTTCAACAGTATAGCCGCTGTCACAGTGTTTTTTGTCTGGATTAAGGTAATTTATACATTTCATCTTCTGCATTGTTAATATTTTTTCTTTCTTTGCATTAATATAAGCCATACAAATCATAGAGGACTTGAACTTGCCATGTGGCCAAATTCAGGCAGCCAGCTGTAGCTGCTTCTTAATTTATACCAAGGAAACCAGTGGAAGCCCTGAGACACCCCTCACTGGGGTTGAGGCTGCTTCCCCTGCTTCCTGAACCCATGTGCCGTCTCTCCCTCTGGGTTTCCTTTAACATGTGGCCACGCAGCCTGGGCCCAAGGTCCCCTGTCAGAAGTGAGCAGGGAGCTGAAGGAACTCAGAGAAAGGGGGGCACTTAGGGTATAGGGGAGGGGGAGGGGCTGCACCTAGAAATGCTCCCTGGAAGGACGGCCTCTCTCTAGGAGGCCAGGGGGAAGCCTCAGCATGGAGGCTGGACAGTCACATCCTTGAGGAGTCCCTTTGGCTGTGACCGCACTGTCCAGAGGGCAGCTGCTACCACACGTGCTATGTTTCCAGTTAAGGGAAGATGCCGTGCGAGTAGAAACTCAGTTCCTCAGCCCCACAGCCACGTTTTCAGTGCTCGGTGTCGCTGAATTGCTATTCGCTGCTGCATGGGAAATGGAAATAATAGAACATTTCCATCCTCACCAGTGTTCCCTGCAGCAGCTACTCTGGAAGGTTCCCTTTGGCTCTTTGTCTTCTGAGGTGGCCTCTGCACCCAGATATGCCCTTCTCCCAAGGGCACATCATCATGGGGGCTGTTTGCTCAGTCTCCTGCTTATTCAGGAGAAGCCTTCACTACACATCTAACCTCTCTCATAAAACAGGAACAGTAGCCAAGATCTCAGATGAACAGGAATGTAAAGTGATTTCTGTTACAGCAGCCCTCAGAAAAATTTCACTATGGTCAAAAACAGTCTCTGGCAGACCCTGAAGTCAAGTTTCATAGTGATTCCCTTTCGTCTTGTGCCTCAGGCTGTTGGATCTTATTTATTGCTTCCCCTTCCGAATTCCACCATCGAGTTCTCTGGGCAGGAACCCGATTGCACTGCTGACCCCTAGTTCTCCCAACCACTTGAGGCTGCGAAGCTTCAAGTCATCCTGCCTGTCCTGAGCAGGGGTCAGGGAGGCTTTGTTCAGCTACAGCTGGGCGGGGCCTCGCTGTTAGCAGCACTGACTGCCGGGGATAAAACCCAGTGTCAGGGTGGGTGTGGGGATCCATCCCTGCCTGGGTGACATGTGACATGGTGGTTACCAAGTCACAGCAGTATCTCTCCTTTATTAGGGATTTTAATTCTTCAGGGGTTGGGGGTACAATAATCACTTTCGTTCTACTCAAGCTTGATTTCAGTCATCCTGTTGCTGCCAGCAAGGCTGGGCAGAAGCCTGTCCCCTGCCTGCTGTGACCCCAGCACTCCTGTTTTGAAAGCCAGGAAAGAAGTTGCTGGAAACGGGATGGACGGGGTGGGGGTGGGTGTCATATCTCTCTCTCTCTCTCTCTCTCTGTCTGTCTCTCTCTGTCTTTCTCTCTCTCTCTCTCTCTCCTCCCTCTTCCTCTTCCTCTCTCTCCTTCTCCCTCTCCCTTTCTCTCTCTCTTTCTCTTTTTTCTTTACTGTGAGACTTTTACCATTTTAAAGAATCCAGCTTGGTGGCATGAAGGACAATCACAGTGGTGCAGCCGTCCCCATTGGGGTACCACAGCATTCTCAAAACTAAATGCGAGGCATTGTGTCCATTTGGCACTCAATCCCATCCCTCCTCCTGTCCCAGCCCCCAGTAGCCTCTGGTTCACTTGTGGACCCTGAATTGGCCCCCTCTAAGAGCCTCTCGTGTCAACCTCATCCTACCAGGCTCCTACAGCAACCTCTGTCTGGGGCTGCTCCCCCTCCAGGTGGAGGAGCCCGCCGTGTGCCCACCTGGTGGTGTCCTGTCCCCTTTGCTGTCCCTCTTTTGCAGCTCTTCAGATTCATCAGCTTTAACAGGACCATGAGCCAGCTGTCCACAACCATGTCTCGGTGTGCCAAGGACCTCTTTGGCTTCGCCCTCATGTTCTTCATTATCTTCCTGGCCTATGCCCAGTTGGCCTACCTTGTCTTCGGCACTCAGGTTGATGACTTCAGTACTTTCCAAGAATGTATGTAAGTATTGATAACATGAAGAAGAAAATTTAATCGGAGATAGCAATGCTCTCTCAAGGAGAAAGACATTTTCTCGGTCACTGTTTGACCAGCAAGTATTCAAAACAGTTATTCAAGATGAGAATGAATTACTTTTCCTGGAAACAGTGACCCACAAAGGCAAAGCAGATGACACAGTCTTAAGACTTCAGCCCTCACAGAATGAGCTAGAAATAGCCAAAGAAGCCAGCGTGTTCCAAAGACGGGGAGTTCAGCACCTGGTGCAAGGGAGGCTGTGGGGGGGGGCTGTTTGCAAATATTGTCATTCCTGTTGAGTATGCTTGCTTTGTATTTTGAACTTCAAGTTATTTTATAAGAAAAAGGTACTTCTAATATTCTAGGAAAAACCTAGCACAATACAGAAACTTTTAGGTTTCTCCAGAGTTCTCAAATACCCTAAACCAAACCGAGAAGCAGCTCAGACCTGGAGAGCTTGGCGACTGTGCAGGAGGCCACGCATGGTCCCTGCACTGCCAAGTAAATAAACAGATGCTGTTACCAGGCATGAGGACCGTTTCTAAGGAGTCAGCACTTAGCAAAGGAGAGGAAGCTGGTGACAGTGACGGTCGACAGGGCCTTGTCAGCGGGGATCCCTGATGCATCTTCCTGTCTGATAAAAGTCAGGAGTGGAATGATTTTCGTAAGACAGGGCACAGTCAGCCCCATAGACCTGGCTTTGAGTATTGGATTTATTGATGTATTGATTTTTGAACACACAGAACTCTGCCAATCACTCAGAAATCATCTCTCTTTACCCTTTAGAGCCTATAACTTCATATCCTTGGAAAATGACCATATGGAGATTTATAGTCACCACATTTTACTCAGATTAAGTATGGATTCCTAGGGATGTTTGCAACATTAGCCATCCAATAATAATTAATATTAGCCAATTGGAAATGCATATCATATGAAAGCAAATCTGTTTTAATATTCTAGAATACGTCAGTTGTTGTAAGTAGCAAGACTTTTCCAAACAGATCTTCCTAAAAGATCCAAAGCTGTGAAATCACCCTAAGAAGCATTGCACTGACGGTTGGGCATTCTTTGGTTTCGTACTGTTTTGTTTTGTTTTGTTTTTGTAGCGTCACTCAATTCCGTATCATTTTGGGCGATGTCAACTTTGCAGAGATTGAGGAAGCTAATCGAGTTTTGGGACCACTTTATTTCACTACCTTTGTGTTCTTTATGTTCTTCATTCTTTTGGTATGTACATTTTTGTTTATAGTGGGGTGATTTAAACTTCATGATCACAAATCACCACCTTCTCTTCTGTCTCACACTCCCAAGGAAGACCCCAGAAGGAGGAAACAGTGTCTAAATTAGAAAACTTACTCTACATCTACTGATTCACAGTGTTAAGCCTTCCTCAAACTTCTTTTCATGGCGCTGGATTATAGATAGAGATATCAAAAAATTAGAACAAATTTATCAGCTAGCCAGAGTATGCTTTGCCTCAAGGTAGAATATGCTGGCATTCCTTTTTAATATAAATGTCATCGTTTTCATATACAGTCGCTCTCTTGACTTTTGCTTGTCTCTTTTCTCTTTTAAACAAAAATACAGATGGTTCAAAGGCCCACGATGTCAAGAGTAGTATGAGAGTGAATTCTTCCCTGTAAAGATTAAGGCTTTCTAACTTACATTTCACACCGTGTAAGCGTCTAGAGACTGCCTACAAAGAATACTTAAATATTAAGTTTAAGACCAATTTAAACAATGAATGGAAATTCCTTTAAAAGATATTTCCAAAAAATTTTTGTTCCTTTAATTTAGCACACAGTAACACTTCCATTTCTGCCCAAAGTTCATTAAGGTTTTTCGGAAGTGTTTGATTGTTTGCCTATGTCTCCACTGGGAGAGGAGGTGAGGTTGGCGTAACTGATGCAGTGGGTGTTTTCATCTGTACCCTACCACATAAGACTTCCTTACATAAAGAATCGTCTTAATAAAATTTACAGAATTGCTCCCATTTTCAGTAAGTGTTGCACAGGTCATTTGTGAGAGGTTCCAGCAATTCAGTGGGAAATTTCCAAAGTCAGCCAGGTCTCCCGTGTTGGCAGCCGTGTACAGATTGAACAGGAGACCAGTGGGCAGCAGGACGGTGCAAGTCCATGTTTTGCTTTTTTTTTTTTTTTTTTCCTTTTTTCCGGTACCGGGGATCGAACTCACGACCGCCTGTCTGCAAGGCAGGTGCTTATGCCACTGAGCTAAATCCCCAGCCCCAGGTCCATGTTTACCTTGCTGTATGCATGCACAGTGGCTAGATTTTGGGTTTAATCCTCCTCCTGTGCTATGGTAAAGTTTCTAGGACCACATTGGCGGACCTTTTAGAGCTTTCAGTGATTAAAAACAGACTGCTGCAGGGTGCACACTGTACGTTCACCACCACCATCCTCAGGAAAGAATAACCTTTGTCCTGCTCATACATGCGTGCTATTTTTCATGCTGGGGCACCCAAACGTCTAACAACACAAAGACCAGGGATGGAGACTCCTGCAGTAACCCTTCCACTGACCTCGAGCCACCTAGGTTTTTCAGAGTGTCGTCTGCCACATGAGTAACACAACTGTGGAGCTTGAAGGGCTCAGATGAGGACTGGTTAGAACCAGCACCTTCTAGGTCATGTGGTCATTTTATCAGATCAGTCACCAGCACAAGAAAAAGAGCCCTTAGGTTTCGTTTATATCCTACAATAATTTCCGTTATGCAAAAAAGGAAATTGTTTTTCTCACCCCCATAGATATTTACAAGATAGATGATAGATAGATGGATGGATGGTAGACAGATAGATGAAAGCCAGGCGGATAGATGGCAGGGAGGCTGCTTCCAGTGCAGACTCGTCTCTGGAGGAAATGGGGGGCTGAGGTCACTTCCGCTTCCCAAGCCTCCTGCCCGCTGTTCATTCAGTGGCTATTCAGAAAGAGTCCAAAACCAGTGGTATAAAGTGGCCCTCATCAACCCACACACAGGGAGAGAACTCTGGGACATGAGCCCGTCTGATAATGAGAGGACCTGCTGACAGTCAGGATGGGAGGGAGGCCTACACTTCACAAGCCTTTCTCTGCCTTCCTCGGTCTCCCCTGAGTGCTGTGACCTGTTTCACCTAAGACACTCACAGACTTCACTTAGCCCTTGTAAAGCAAAAGTAGAACATGAAATGACTGCTTGGAAGGGTGAAGGTAGGAGATGTCATTCAAGCTGACACTCTCCACCCTTGGACTGGAGCAGGTAGCCAGGAAGTTAGGTGTTGACTGTGTTCAGTTCTCAAACTGCCCTAAAGGATAGAGACATACTGGCCTACTAATTTAAGAGAGCCCTGATTTGTTTAGTCATCACTGGTTAGTAACTATTTATACAGCAGCTATATTCCTGTATTTATGTGCTTAATACATGATAAATTACCATGTTTACTGTGTATTAACAGTGCAGGGCAGTGTGTTAGATGATGAGGGTATCATGGTAAAAAAAACAGTCTTGCCAGGCCCAGGGAAACCGCATGGATTTGTGGGGAAAACCGACATAGTGAAATACACCATCCTATAGCCACGAACGTTACACCCTAAAATCTCAGGGGCAAACGAAAGAGGTTCTCCTGGGTGCAGTATTTCAGGAAAATCTGTTGGCCACAGATGGTGGTGGTGGAAAGTTTATCACCAGGGGGAAATGGTCAGGAAAGAAGCAGGCTTTCCCTTAACAACAGTAGCTTAAGGTCTAAGCACCCACAGTGTGTCAGGGCCTGTCCTGAATGCAGGGCACAAATCACTGTGTTAACTCCCACAGCCAGGCTGAAAGGGATGGGGTATTTGTTTTCCCACTTTATAAATGCAAAGCAAAACAAATCCTACAAATGAACCTTACAACAGCTAAAGCCAGGTTTCACTCATACCTGCGGTCCCAGCATTCACGCTGTAGTTGGGTTTCACCCTAGGGCACTGAAAAAGAAATCATGGTAATTAAACAGCTTTAGTCTTGGTGTTGCCCAGACTGAAACCTAAGTTTGCTCCACTGCAGTGTCTTCATCTTTTCCACAAAGCTTTTCTTTGCTCTATTTCCACTACATTCCTATTTGTAGAAGTCTTTGTAACTTTTTGAAACATGATCAATAAATCTCAAGTATGATTATTTAACAACATTTAGAGTAAGCACAGTAGGGCTTTCGTTGTGTGTGTTGACTGTTGAAATCTGAATGGCTTTTCCAAACAGCTTTACAACTTACCTGAAAAATTTTAAATGTACAGAAAACAAGGAAAAATAATAAAAGGATCGCACCATTCATAAGTAAATCGCTAGACCTTTTATCGTTTCTTTTTGAAAAATATGTGGTTTATAAGTAAGGACATAATGTTCCCTTTGGCATGACAATGGAAAATAGTGTTCTCAAATAATATGGTAGGAAGCCTGTTAAACTATAAAGCATTCAGACTGCGGAGAAAAGGTCACTACAAAGGCATATGTTAACTCCTGGTAATATATATGAGTTTTTTCCTTTACTTTGACTGACAAACAGAATATGTTTTTGGCCATCATCAATGATACTTACTCAGAAGTGAAATCTGACATGGCCCAGCAAAAAGCTGAAATGGAACTCTCCGATCTTATCAGAAAGGTAGGCTAATCTCTGTTTCTCAGAATATTTTTTACTGCCTACGTAAAATGAATATTACGTCGTCCAACTTTACAAGATACTGTTGATCCCCTGACATTGTTTAAAAGAAATAGTAGATCATTATATTTCAAGAACAGTGTAAAAAGCTGTCTGAGTGGAGGCTTGGTGGGTGTGTTGGTAGGTTGGATTTAAATTCTGGAATCCTTTTATGCCTTGAATCAGGTTCTCAATAATCCTGTGACTCAAGATCTGAGTGCCTTCCTAAGTTTTGAAGTGTCCTCTGTTGACTCTTTTTAGGCTCTGAGTTCAGAATAAACTGGAAGGGAAGATTATAGAAAGAGGCATCTAGCTTGCCTACCTCCTTTAAAATCCACTTTAAAAGCTTTTAGAGAAAAATATAGTCACGGACTCTGGACTTTCTAAGGCAGCTAGACAGCAGATGAAGGAGAATGTCCCTGGAACCGAGGCCGCAGCCAAGCCTGAGAATGTGTCCTTCATTAAACAGAGGGCAGGACAGAAGGGCAGCCTGGCTTTGGTCTACTCAGTGTGCCTTCATCATTTAGTTTAGAGTAAAAGCTACACTACAGTGTGTAAGGAGTTTAAGGGACACGGTTTGTTTGCTGGCACCATGTTGGTGCCATGAAGGCTCAGTGGCTCCTTCACTTGGGTTCCTGTTGGCACCACCAATGGGTCCTATGTGGGGAAAGCTTCAGCTTCCAGCAGAGCCCCTTGGGTGAGACCTAAGGTTCACACGGTCTTGAATTCTGCACCGCACTGGCCTGCATTTTAGCCAAGCTCCCCTGTGTGCGTCTCACTCCACACGATGTGGTTGTGGGGTGCTCCAAGCTGGGTTACCCTGGGTTTGTTTATCAGTGCCAGGCCTTCAGAACATGGCTCAAATCTGAGCTCTGAGAGCAGATCGCTGGCAGCAGTGCACAGGACACTCCAGGCTCTTCGGTCTTCATCTCACCTGTCACCTAGGTGACAGATGCCCATCACGTTCAGTGACCAGGACGGCACTGCTTTCAGGCAGGTGCTGACAGTGCCTGGGCTTCTGCTGAGCTCACACTCAGGGCATAGTTTGAGGAAGTAACATGGGGAGGCAAGAAGCACTCACGGGCTTCTCAGAGTGCGTTTGTAATGTTTTAAATTTCTGTGTACTAAAAAAAATTAAGTTTATGCCTATTTCTCTCTAAATCTACAACTGATGCCAAGGGAGTTTTGTAATGTTTTGATTAAAAGTTTTAAAGGTCACAGAACAGTCGAAATTTCTTCTGTTGATTTTTTTAGATTCCCGTGAACAAGTTTAGCTTTTACAGCCCTTCACTGCAGTTTGCTTGTGGGAAATCCTCACCTTTATTCTTCTGGGATTTTTAACCTGCTTTTCATAGGGTGGTAAGAGCTATGAGGTATGATAAAATTAAACGGCCAGGCATAGTGCAGTAGCCCAACCCTGTAGACCTAGCTACTCAGAAGGCTGAAGCAGGAGAGTGCCTAAGCAACATGGCAAGACCTAGTCTCTCAATAGTAAAGTGCTAAACAGACAATAAATAAGCAGTCCATGCCTCGGGTTTCTTGGTGTTCTTGTAGAACAGTGTATATTCCTGTACTCCAGGGTAGACCCCTGTGGAATAGGTGATGATTTTCACTCCTGTTACCTAAAGTGGAGCACATACATGAGGAAAGGGGCCTTAGTTCTTCTTGCTCACTGAAAAATGCTGGGTCTTCCCGTACAGGTCTGTATTTTCATTATTCACTGATGAACACACACTGAGTGGCCCCACCAGCTTCTGGATTTATGAATAGGGGGCAGAGTGAATGCAGGAGAGTATACTAAACCGGATCCTTTTCTTTTGCCCTGTTTTCTTTTTCTTCCCTTTTCCCTTCCTTCCCTTTCTCTTCCCTTTCCTGACTTCCTGTCATTTCCCTCTGTAATAGGGCTACCATAAAGCCTTGGTCAAACTAAAGCTGAAGAAAAGCACCGTGGATGACATTTCAGGGAGTCTGCGGCAAGGGGGAGGCAAGCTGAACTTCGATGAACTTCGGCAGGATCTCAAAGGGTAGGAGTCCAGCCCTGGCGGTCAGGACAGGAGGGTGCTGTGTCGGAGCCTGGGGGCCCGGGCACTCGGAGACAGACTCTTCCCCAGAGGCAGGCATCTGCTAGAATGTGCTGGAGACTAGCCCCGTGCAGTGCTGTTTGCCTTGCTCCCGCACTCTGACGTCTCTAAGTTTGGGCTGCACCCATGCAGGATGGGTTCATCGGGCCCTCTCGAATCCTTCCAGGAAAGGCCACACTGATGCGGAGATTGAAGCAATTTTCACCAAGTATGACCAGGACGGAGACCAGGAACTCACCGAACACGAGCACCAGCAGATGAGAGATGACCTGGAGAAAGAGAGAGTGAGTCTCCCCTGGGGTCAGCCCTCCCCATGTGTCAGGTCCTACTCCAGCAGTGGGCTATTCCATCCCTCTCTCTCCCTTTCTTTCCATCTGGGTATCAGTATCAAGCTTACTCCAAAAAGGACGTAATGATTCTGTAAGGTGAAATAAAATAGTGTGACTGTAAGAAATTCAGAGTAAGGAGTGATACAAAACTGACATGAGAACATAGTAGGTGGCGTGGTGGTGAACGGCTGTGTACGACCGTGGAAAACTCTAGAAGATTCACCACCACTGCCCTGGATGTGCAGTGTGCACCCACTTCCCGTTGCCCACGACCCCAGCCATGCGCGTGGGTCCTGTGTGCCTGCTCTCCCGTGACGACCCCGTGTTCTTCAGGAGGACCTGGACTTGGACCACAGCTCCTTACCACGGCCTATGAGCAACCGGAGTTTCCCAAGGAGCCTGGATGACTCTGAGGAGGATGATGACGAGGACAGTGGCCACAGCTCCAGGAGAAGGGGAAGCATCTCCAGCGGGGTCTCCTACGAGGAGTTTCAAGTGTAAGTCTGAAGGAAGGGGCCAGATTGGGGTTCCAGGGTCCTTCTGTGACAGCTGCTCCCCTCTTCCCCTGTTCCTTTCAGGTCAGTCTTTTCCACTACAGTTACCAGTTCTTCTGTTACTTTTATTAGTAATTTTTTCTCTTTATAAAAAAATGTGTTTATTATAGGAGAATCAACAAAGAAAAGCAAAATAAAGCATTAAAGTATGCCATCTTCCTACCAGCCACAGCGTTCACTAGTTGTCATGTGTTTTCATCACTATTCTTATGTTATTGTGGTTTCATGTATGGTCCACCCTGGAAGATCACTTGAGAAAAATGTGAATATTTCTGTGCGTAGAGGAGAATAGAGGTTTTGTGGGTCCAGTTGCTTTATAATGTTATTCAACTCACCTGTTTTCCTGCTGGTTTTTTTCTCCACTTTGGAAAGTGGGGTATTAAATTCTCCAACAGTTATTATTAAATTATCATTTATCCCTTCAATTCTTTTTTTTTTCTTGGTCTTTTTGAGGCAGGATCTTTCTATCCAGTTCAGGCCGGCCTTGGGCTCACTTTGTAGCCCAGGCTGATCTTGAATTTGCAACGATCCTCCTGCCTCAGCCTCCCAAGTGCTGGGATTACAGGTGTGTGCCACCACGCTGGATTTATCCCTTCAGTTCTGTAAGATTTTATTTTGTGGATATTAGAACTCTCTGATTTCATGTCTCTCCCTAGTACATTGATCTTGTTTTTAATTATAAGGTAGTTTGGTTCACCCTACCTTTAATAGAATGTGCTTTTTTAAAGTTTTGTCTGATGCTCCTGTAGCCACTCCAGCCTCAGGGCTGCTGTTCATGTAGCATCTGGCACCCTCTCACTTTCAACCTGTTTGTATCTTTGTATATAAATGTATCTCGTGTAAACGGCATATGTTTAAGTTTGTCTCTGTGGTTGGTTTATCCATTTATATTTAATGTTATTGGTACAGATTTACATCTACAGTGTTACCTGTTGTTTTCTGTATGTCCTGTGTTTCTTTTGTTCCTCTTCCTCCTTTGTGGCTGTAAGTAGATATTTTCTGGTGTCCCATTTGACTTCCTTTAACTTTTTATGCAGTTTCTAAGTTACTTTCTTAGTGGTTGCTATAATGCTTAGGCAATGCAGAGCGGCCTATGACAATCTGTTGCTAATTTCTAGTAATTAACCAGCGACGTATCGAACAGTCTTCTCTAGTTCCTTTTGTTCACTCCCCTTTTTGTGCTAGGTAGATAGAAGTATTCTTCAGTAGCTGTTTCAAATGCAGCATTGCCTTGCTATGTTATCACTGTAAGCAAAGATAAGTTCTATGTTTATAGTGTTTGCTGTACTGATATTCCTACTTACCGTATCTGACTCCCTCATATGCTTCAGAACTCAGGTTTCTGTCTTGCATCCTGTCTGGTGTCTTTTCCTTTCTCCAGTACAACCTAGCTTTTACTGACCGCCACTGGCCAGCTATTGTGAAGTACATTACATTTCTGTGTGGTACAGGTCCAACAGTCAGATTACATACAAATCTTATACAACTATTTTGTAAACTGATACCAAAGAGGGAAAAGATATTATCTATAGTATGTTTTATACTTACGTGGCTGTTTGTATTCCCTGTTTTTCATAAATGTTTTAATTAGTTTCTGGGGACTTGCTTTCAGCATAAAGATCTTCTTATAGTGTTTCGTTTAAAGCAGGTCTCCTAGCGGTGAATTCTCCCCATCTGGGTTCTTCTGGGCATGTTTGCCTCCTTCTCTGTTTACAAATAAACAAATGTTTATCTCACTGAGAGTTCATTGCACAAGAGGAGTCCATTTTCTTGCTCTTTTTAAATATTTCTAAATACTTTTAAACATCGTTTTGCCTTGAAACATGTTAAATTTGTATGTCTTGGTAGGCGTTTCAGGTTTAACTTAATTTCAGTTCTATGAGTTTCTTGGACATACATTTTTCCCCAAGTTGTGGAGATTTCCACATAGGACTTCTGCAGATATGGTAGCACATCGATTTACAAAGTTAATTTGCTTTACGATCTGGGAAAAGACTGCTGTCTGTGTTTGTGTGGGGAACGCAGCCATGGGTGTGTTTGCTACTCCATGTAAGTTTGTGAGCCGAAGCAAAACTTGGCCTAAGGCTTTTGTTTGTGAATCAAATTGTCTGCAAACTAAAGCATTCACAAATGGAGGTGTGACTGTATTTCTTAAATTTCACACACTCTCTTCTTACTGAAATTTAGTTGATTGCTTAATGAGAAAAAAATTTAAAAATAGGGGAGGAGCAAAGATAGCAGATAGATAACAGCTGGCTACAGAGGCTCCCTGAGATAGTCAACTTAGAATTGAACATAATACAGAGTGGGGAGCCCCAAACAGAGGGAGATGACTTCTCTCATCTCAAGAAGAAACTAAGGTGAGAAGAACCAATCAAACGTACAGTCCCAGTGCTATTATTGGAACAGCTAAAGGTTCAGTGTTCCCGCCGCAGCAGGTGACTTGCCAAGCTGTCCAAGGTCCTGCCGCTTCAACTCACTGGAGGCGCAGTCACACTGAGGTTGGGAGTCAGAGAGCTGAACAGAGAGCTAAGTTGGCACAGTACCTACATCGACCTGTGGTGAGTGACGGGAGTGGAGCCATTCCACAGAAAGGGGGGCTCTGGTGGATGACATTCCGGGACCTGGAAGGACTGGCAAATACAAGGGGCAGCAGCGACTTCAGTCAGTTGTTCCCTTCCTGAATGGGATTGGTGGAGTGAGCTAGGCCTGGGTCACGTGACCTGGCTGAGACCCAATAGGTTATCTGAAATCATTTCCCTTCAGTGTTGGCACACACTAACCACATTAACCCATTGAAGCTTCAGAAGTTTGACTGACCCGGAGGGGAGGCAGCGCAAAGTACTACAGTGCAGGCCACAGCAGCTTGACTGACCTGGATGGGAGGGGCCAGCATACACTGACCCTGTCTGCAACTCACTAGCACACTGCATTGGGAAGGGTCATCTAGCCAGCGTGCTTCAGAACAAAGAAAGAAACTGGGGCCTCCTGGAAGAAGCAAAAAAAAAAAATGGGAAGAGGAAGCAACAACAAGAAGTCCCCAGGTCCCAATCCTGAGAACATTGACCCAGGACAGGTAAATACTAAGGAGAATGAGGACAGCAAATATGCAATATCAGACACAGCACCAGTGGACATAAAGAGATATATTCAGGACCTCATAAACGAGTTCAAAAGTGACATATTTAGCCAGGTAAAGCAAAATATAAGAAAATTAATAAGAGAGATACTAAGCACCCCTCAAGCAGACACAGACAGAAGAAGGGAAGAACTCAGAGAAGAGAACCATTTGATGAAGAATATAAAAAAAATATAGAATATATAAAGCAGATTCAAAGAGATTACCAGGAAATTAAAAACTCTATGGAAAGATGGCAAATCAGCTTGAAAGAAACTAAGGATAGATTAACCAAACTGGAGGACAGTTTTGCAATGTGGGAGTATGAAAGGGAAAACTTTTTAGAAATAACAAGGAAACAAGTAGTAATACAAAGGGTGGAAGAGGACGAGAGGATCTATAACTTGAGAATAAAGAATGTGAATGAAAAATCAGGGGTATAAACAAAGGAATTACAAAGGCTATTCACAGAAATAATTAAGGAAAACTTCCCAAACATAGGAAAAGGAAATAATATTCTGATATATGAGGCATATAGAACTCCAGCCACCTACAACCAAAACAGAGCTACACCCAGACATATAATAATCAAGATCCCAGAAATTCAATATAAGAACAGAATATTAAAAGCTGTTAGAGACAAGAAACAGATAACCTACAGAGGAAGGCCCATCAGAATAATGGCAGACTTTTCCACACAAACCATCAAGTCAAGAAGAGCCTGGAGCGAAATATTCCAAGCCCTGAAAGAAAATAACTTCCATCCCAGATTGATATACCCTGCTAAACTGTCTCTAGAAATTAATGGAGAAACAAGATGCTTCCAAGACAAAGAGGAACTTTGGAAATTTGCAACCAGCAATCCAACTCTACAGAGAATATTCCAGGGCATTCTAGAGAGAGAGAAAAGTACTAGAATTCCAGGAATAATGGCAGAGAAGCCTCAATGAATGGAGCAGAAAACAGAATGAAGAAGATAAGCAGACAACTGATGGCAAAAAAAGAGCATAGCAGAAATGAGGCAGAAAAGATTTTATTCAAAACTGATGTGATTGATAGTATCAAGTCTGAGAGTGTAGGCAACTACATAAGATGACAAGACTCACTGCGATACACATTCTGATTTGATAACTGCCAGTTTTTGAAGTTCTACATTATATACAAAATTGTGTTTTTATTAATACTGTTATGTACTGATATATTCAATTATACTATGTCTGATGATATAGCTAATTCTATTGGAGATAACAAGAGACAACACAGGAACCATGATAGAACTCTTTGTACAACGGTCTTATATGTTTTTTCATTTCATGCATTTATAGGAATATGTTTTGTTTTGCCTTGCTTTGTCTTGTTTCACCCTCTAATACAGAAAGGATGGAAATACATGTTAAGATTCATGCATGTGTAGAATCTATAAACAGTTTATGAGAACTGATCTTATGACACATGATGAAATGAACAGATACTTTGAAGAAAAAGAGACTCTGAAATACCCAGTGCTGATCCTGGAGTGTCATAATGTGAAACCCAGCAACAGTATTATTCTTTGTTCAGAGTGATATTAGACTGCTTAGGTTTATTCAATCTCAACATAACTGAACATATGGAGAACTGCATGTATGTTTAAGTGTATAGGCTTGATAACTATATTTCTAAGTTTTTGTTGGATAGTTGAACAAAACTGGTTGCAGTCTCACTGTTTGAATCCCCACTTTTTATGCTCCACTTTAGTATCTTGAATAACTATTTGTAAGAAGACAATCTGGAATCATCAACTAGTGATTTCTTACTGTTTATTTTTTTCTTTGAAATTATGTATTATTTCTACCCATTTTCTTTTTTGTTTAGTCTTTCTTTAAATTAAATTTTAAAAAAAGACACTACAGTACCCAGTGCTGATCACGGAATGTCATGATGTGAAATCTAGAAATACTATTATTCTTTGTTCAGAATAATTTTAGCCTGCTTTAGTTTGCTTAAATATAAATAAAGATATGGATAACTGCATGTATGTTTAAGTGTATAGGATTGACAACCATGTTACTAAGTTTTTGTTGGACAGTTGAACAGAACTGTTTGCAGTCCCACTGTTTGAATTCCCAGGTTACATGTTCCATTTTTACTAGTAAAAAAAAAAAAAAAAGATAAAAATAAAATGAAACAGTGTTTCAAAACAGATTAGTAGGACAGTTACAACAATAACATATTGCATATAGTTGTCTTTGTAATAGTTATTCAGAGCGCAGGCATGATACCTTATCCAAACAATATTAGCACAAACCTTTCTTTTCAATGAGCTATAAGAAACTAGAAGTATAACTATCTTAACTACACATATATTTTTTCTTTTTCCCTTTCTTCATTTCTGCTTTCCTCCTTCAGTTTATCTTTTCTTTTAAATAGTTTCTTCCTAAACAATTATTGTTTATGAATATTTTGGGTCATATCTACTTCAATCAGTTTTTCACACTAGTGAGACAATATAGTGTCTACACATGTGGGTCTGATTTATTCCACTGCTGAGTATGCATCCATTTACCTATAAAAGTCTCCAGTCTATCCTTCTTTATGGCTGAGTAGTACTCCATTTTATAAAGAAAAACCACGTCATCTTTTTTATCCATTCCTCAGTTTGGGTTGTTGCTAAGATTTAGCTTTTACAAATTGTGCTGCTATAAGCATGGGTGTGCATATATCGCTGTAGCATGATTTTTCTAGGAAGATACCTATATGGGGAGTAGCTGGTTCTAAGGAGACTTCTCATCCTAGTTTTTTGAGAAGTCTCCATACTGATTTCCACAGTGGCTGCACCAATCTACGCTCCTGTCAGTACGCTCCTGGAGAAGGATTTCTTTTTCCCCCACAGCCCCTCTAGCATTTTTATCAGTTGATTTTTTGGTAATAACCATTCTTTCTGTGGATGAGATGGAATCTCAGTGTTGTTTTGATTTGCATCCCTCAAATGACCAATGATGATGAACAGTTTTTCATATATTTATTTGCCATTTGTATTTATTCAGCTGAGATGTGTGTATTTGTTTCAGATGCCCATTTTTAGATTGGATCTTTGAATTTGTGGTGTCTGATTTTTTCAACTCTTTATATTTTCTAGATATAAGTCCTTTGTCTGGGGACGACTGACTATAATTTTACCCCTCCTGTGGACTGTCTTTTTACTATTAGTGATTTGTTTTGTTGTGAAAATACTTTTTAATAAAGTGAGATCCCATTTGTTGATTCTTTGTAATATTTCCCTTCCAGTCTGTGTTTTGTTCATGAAGTCTCTGCCCATACCAATGTCTTTGAGATTTCTATTTTCTCTTCCAGTAGATTTAATGTTTCTGTTTTAATATTTAGATCTTTGATTCATTTTGACTTTCGTTTAGTACATGGTGATAGACCTGAGTCTAGCTTTAGTCTTCAGCATGTGGAAAGCCAATTTTTCCAGCACCATTTATTAAAGAGACTATTTTTCTTCCAGTGAACATGTTTGGCTCATTTGTCAAAGATAAGGTGGTTGACTGTGTTTGGGGTTGCATCTGCATCTTCTATTCTGTTCCACTCATCCTCAGGCCTGTTTTTTTTTTTTTATTCCAATACCATGCTGATTTTATCATGGTAGCTTTGTAGTATAATTTCAGGTCTGGGATTATTATGCCCCCTGACTTGCCTCTGTTGCCCAGAATTGCTTTTGCTATTCTAGGTCTTTTCTGGTTCCAGATGAATTTTAGGAACGTTTTCTCTAGATTTCTGAGATATGCTAGTGGTATGTTGATTGGGTAGTTGACTTTTTTAATAAGTGCTTTTACATTAGGTATATACTCTTAAAATTTCTAGAGCACTTCAATGTTTGGATTTTTTAAATAACTTTCCACAGTTATAATTATTTCACTGAGAAGTTAATCTGTTGAACTCTAATGCCACCATTCTAGATATCTAAGATGTGACATCTTAAAATTTCATTGTGTAAGTGAACAGTCTGTCTTATTGACTGTTTAATGTAGCAGCTTCTAGTGATGCACTATTAAAAAGCAACATTCCAGTTCCTATCTTTCATATCTTTTAAGAAATTACATATATCTGGGTGCTTTAGAAATTTTTCTAAAATTAAAACATCTGAAGAAAGTGATGGATATAGATTTTTAAACCTCCAGATACAGTTGGACTGGCAGAAAGATGTTCCAGTTGGCATCACACAAACCTGAAGGGAGAGTTTATCTTATGCTTGCAACCACTTAGGCAGTGTGGCAGGGCTGGGGTGTGGCTCAGTGGTAAACACTCGCTTAGCATGTACGCAGACCTCCGTTCCATCCCTACAGTACAAAAGACAAAGATTTTATCATTTATTTATTTTAAGAAAAATTCTCTGGCATTTCTGTTTGAGCAGCCAGCGGGGCTGTGGAGACCGTAAAGTCTCCTTTCCCCGCTGAGGTCTGGTCTCCCACAGCCTGGTGAGACGCGTGGACCGCATGGAACACTCTATCGGCAGCATCGTGTCCAAGATTGACGCTGTGATTGTAAAGCTGGAGATCATGGAACGGGCCAAACTGAAGCGGCGGGAGGTGCTGGGGAGGCTACTGGACGGAGTGGCTGAGGTAAGGAGCTGGAGCTACAGCACAGCTGACCACAAGACGAGGGACTCATTGGTGATGGGCCACATTGGTGACACTGCTTTCTAACTGAGGAGTAAAACATGCAAACAAGAAAGATTACAGACATCCACAACATAGTTTCCATCCGTTTTCATTTGCAAATACTTTTCCCTATGAAACAGAAATGCTTTTTGATTCTGTGAAATATCAGGGAGATGTATCCTATAGCCTTTACCCTGGCAGATGTTTCTGCCCATCAGTGATTGTCTGGAGATGTGGGTGTCCTAACCTTCTGGACACCAGTGGTTCAGCCTTCGCTGGAGAGGAGGTTTTAGTGAACATCTACTCCACTGAAAAGGGCTATTGCAATAGCACCTCAGTTCACAAGCTTAACTCTTTCTATACTTCTGTCCACAAACCAAATTCGACAAGAACTGAATCAAATTCAATAATTAGGTTCGGTGTTGACCTTATGGGGAAATTTGATTCAGTTCTCGTCCGACTCAGTTTGGAACCAGCATCATGGGAAGAATTAAGTTCGTGAGCCGAGGTACCACTGTACTTGCTGTAATTCCCCAGGCTCATCTAACTGTAAATAGATTATTTGTGCACGGATTTCCTGAGGCGCTTTCTGTACGCACATCACCCTGCAGTAACACCCTGGTTTCTCTGTCTCTTGTGAGGATGAAAGACTGGGTCGTGACAGTGACATCCACAGGGAGCAGATGGAGCAGCTGGTGCGAGAAGAGCTGGAGCGCTGGGGGGCAGAGGACACCGCCGCCCAGCTTACCCATCCCGGCCTGGGCGTGCCGGCGGGACTCCACGGCCAGCCCCATCCTCGAAGCACTCGGCCTTCCTCCTCGCAGTCCGCAGACGGCCTGGAAGGCGGAGGAGGAGACTGCAGCTCCAACATCCACGTGTGACACCTGTGTCGCTGTGTGTCACCCAGCGGGGGAGAAAGTGGCTGTCCCCGGTTGCCATAGAATCCACTACTTGTATGCTCTAGCAGCCATACGATGCTGGTCTTTGTGACCGATTATTAATCATTTGCACTTTAATTTATTGTGTGGAAACTTTACCCATGGATCAAAGACTTTTTTCATTTTTGCGTATAAGAAATCAAGATGTAAATATTAGATTCAAGAAAAGAAAAAAGCATCCAGAGTACTATGCTCAGCTGCTACTGTGCCTAAAGCTGGAGGACTGTCACGGGGCTGCCGGGTTCCCCTTCCAGCCACAAAGCCAGTGTTGTCATTTTTGTCCAGGGTGTGAAGGAAAGGTGGGTCCCCTTTCCACTCAAGTGCCATTCATGAGCTGAGAAAGTAGCTTTCCTGTAAGAAAGGGAATTTTCCTGGCGGATCGCTTAGCAGGAGAAAGCACCTACCTGGCAAGTGTGAGACTGAGAGTGCAGCCCTGGTGAGAGAGAGAGAGAGAGAGAGAGAGAGAGAGAGAGAGAGAGAGGCACAGAGAGACGAAGGGAAGAAGGGAGGGAGGAAGAAACAAAGAAATTTTAACTCAGCTACCTTCCTGCAGTAAACTCTTAGAAAACATGAAGTAGAAGAAAACTACAAAGCGTAGAATGGGTATGTAGCCATTATACTAGAGTCTGTAGGAATGGTTAACATATTAAATACTATGTAACTTTTGATATTTTGTCATATCTAATATCTGTGGGGCTTTTATATTTTATATTTCATTAGCAATACGGTGGGTAAAAGCACTGATATTAATTAATTACTGGATAAATGATATCTCTAAGAAAACATAAGAATTGGAAGGAACCCTAATTTGCTTCCAGTTTAGACATTTTCAGTAATTTGTAGAATAAAATTATACTAGATGCTTTCCCTTCGGTGGTGTAAAGTGCTGAACACTTCACAGAAGAGAGATTCAATTTGCTTCACAGTTGTAGAGGGTCCGTCTGTGGTTCACTGGCTGTAAGACAGGAACACCATGGCAGAGGCCCTCTATTCTCTTTCCCATGTGTCTCAACTCATTTGCAGATGAGTTAATGTTACAACTAACCTAGTAGGACAAGCTAAGTTTTACTGTATGCACTCAACCTTTTAACTCAGTAAGTATGTTCATATTAAGGAAAATTTTGAGCAAGTTTCAAAGTTCATAAAGCTTGAGTAGAAACAAAGTTTTTATTTTATACCAGCTCAGGTATATAATCCTGAAATATTGTGTGCCATAGTTTAAAGACTAGAATGGATAATATAAATGAAGTGTGATACAAAGGAGGCTTGGGTACTGAAAATTCATCCATTTTCACAGTTCTAGCCCAAGTTGTTCTAGTTAGGAGAACATCTCATCAAATTTAGGGAGGGATCTATTTCTCAATAAAAAATAAAACTGATTTTTTTTCAAAAGTGTTGAACAATGTGACCATCTGAGAGCTAATAGGAGAAGTGAGAGACAGTGTAGTGTTAGTGAGAAATCGTCAGCTGGGAAGCCAATAAAAGAGAGTCCTGTTTCTTCACGCTGGCTCTTTAAAGTTCCCTCAATGAAAAGAAAGTCTCAGTCTAATTTCCAGTGAGGAGGCAAGTGGCTGACCTTCCAGGGAGGCTTCCGTAGGAGTTTCTTGAGCGTCACTCTCTGGGACGTCAGATCCCTCTCAGATTTCTTTATTCCTAGGCACTAGTGTACACACTCCAGGAGAAATGGGTGTGCACACTCGCTGTGTGCGTGCTGTGCTCTAAGTGTAAACAAGCTTCACTGTGAAGTGCATTCTCACCGTGTGGTGTCCACGTGTACTGACCATGTGCCAGGCATCCATCCTGGTCACAAGGAAGTCTGTTTATATATGTGTTATTATTAATGTGCTGTCTCTGATTTTATTGTACCATGTTACAGAATTCTGTCCCTGTACCTGCAAATTCCATGCCTTTTCATCTTCCACCATAGCGAATTCACTCCTCATCCTTCACCATCTTCTCCATAATGAAGATGTTACATCTGCGAGCCTTTCCTAACAATCAAGAATTTCATAACTGTATGATATGGACCGCTTTGCTTTTTAATAAAGGCTTGATGTGTAACAGATGTAAGAACCATCTGTTTCCTATTAGCGAAAGAATAGACTTTGAAAACTGCAAGTTCTCATTTTATGTCCAAATTTAATTGGCATATTTATGTATTTGCTACACCAGGTACACATTTTAGGTAACCTGCCTTTAAGCACTGAGCTGTCGTGTAGATGTCATACGGTTTTTCCCTCAGATGTACAGCTTGAGACGAGGATTCTGGGCAGTACTTTGTTTAAGAGGGGCAGGTAATAAAAGTAGTGTAGAGAGGAGAAACCAGTGTTTTAGTCATTTTACCAGCCTGAGATGCAGTATGAGACATCACAGTTGAAAGGGGAGAGGTTTATTTGGCTCCTGGGTTTTACCTTTTATTCCATAGTTAGCTGGCACCTAGGCAGAAATGGCACGGTGGTAGCCTGCCACAGAGGAAGACTTCTCTCTCGCAGTGGCCAGGAAGCCAGGGGACAAGAATTGCAAAGGGAGCTCACTCTTTTGGGCCACATCTAACAGCAAGTCAATCATGAACACATCAGTGGATGAACCCACAGATAAGAGAAACACCCCCATGGTCCCATCACCTTCCAAACACACGAGGCTCTCGGGGAGACCCAGACATAAACTTGGCCTGAGTATTTCTGGCCTCTGGGGGAGGCAGAACTAACCTCATGGCAGCCGGGAAGGAGGGAGAAGGGAAGTAAGAAAAGGAGGTAAAGAGGAGGGTGGAGGAAGGTTGGTTGGGGAGCAGGGGCAAAAGACAGTCCCTAAGGCCAACCCTCCAGCCAACTCCTACCTGTTAAACTCCCTCACCTCCCAGCAAGGCCATCAGACGATGAATCCACAAATGGACTGATCCACTGATGAAGGGAAGTCAGTCATTCTCCAAGAGTCCCAGCTTTGAGCCAAGCCAGCACACCCAACACGTCAGCTTCCAGGACTATTTCCTACCAAAGCTGGAACACCCACTGCGGAAATAGGATTTGGGCAGGAAAGCCACTCTGAAAGGCCGGTGGTAATTCCCTAGGACTTCAGACAGGACAGCCCCGCTTGGCTTCTGAGCAAGGAAGGAACTGCAGACACTGGTAGCTGAACAAACAGTAGGTACAGAGTGGAGTGCTGGGGGGCGACAGATTTGGACAGGAGCTTAATGTACCCAGTAAGCATAATCATGGGCGCCCAGCTCAGAGGAACCCATTCACTGAGAATATCACTGAGAATATGGGGCAGGCGGCGCCCCGGGGGGTAGCACCGCATGAATTTCCTGGCAGATACCCTTAAGCAGGGAGCAGCTGAAAGCACAGAGGAAAACACTGCTAAGATTCTGGTCCTCGCTCTGTCTGTTTATGAGCCTTGTGTTACACTAACTTACCCAGCATCCGAGTCCATTTCTTCTGAACATGTGTAAGTTGTTTAGAAATGAGAACATTTGTAAATGAGGAAATGAATGTTGAGGGGTTTTTCCCCCTCAAGGAATGCTTTACAAAATAAGGCTAAGTGCAAAAGCACATCAAAGCTGCGAACATCCACGGCGAGCACTTACTCCGCAAGCAGCAGGCTGCCAAGGCAGCAAGAAGGAAGGATTCACCGACAGTTTCTGAAGGCAACAGAAGGAACTCATAGTGCAAAATGGTAATTAAGAATTTACCTGCAAGTCTTCACACACACACACACACACACACACACACACGAATGTAAACTGTTGACACAGTTTGGTGCTCATTTCCCACTGCTTATTTTATATCATGAGCGTGTTATGAAATCCCTGTTTCATTAATGGCTAGAGGACACATTAATATACATTATATGAATATGTTAAGTAAGCCACATATTCAAATGGAACAGCTACACTGACCTCATGCTGGACGTTAGACATTTGCACTGCTCCACATTTTCATAATTATTCACAATTCTGTCATTGTGTGAAAAAGTGAATCAGCAGTAGCCAAAACCTCAGAAGAAAGGAAATTTTATTGATGCCAGCAGACCCCAGAGGAGTAATGTCAGAAGTCTGAGGTGGTGATTACAGAGGACTTGTCTTTTATAGGTGGTAAACAGCAGGTACAAGAACGAGATAAGCTGCTGAGGTTTATGGTACAATGGGCATCTTGTGCAGTGACCATAGTTGTATGCAGCAAAGTTGTTTTTAGCACATTCCAGAAGTTTCCTACAATTTAACTGATTTCAGTGGCAGAGAACAGAATGCCTGCAGCTTTATTAAAACAATGACTGCAGTTAGGTCAGGACTTCTGCCTCAATATAAAGTCAAGCAGCAAGGGTCAAGTGGGGGCAGAGGCCACGAAAGTCCTTCTGTAATGAAGCAGACCTACTGCCTGCACCTGAAGGATGTGGTCTGCCTTTTGAGGGCTTCACCCAGGAGAAGTGATATTTTCCTATAAGGTAACCGCAGGTGCACACAGGACAGAGGAGGGTTTGAAGGGGAGAAGCACCCCACCATGAGTGAGGCTGCAAGAGGCAGGAGGAAGGGCAGTGGACTGAAGCTACGCTAGATCCCCACTGTGCAGAAAGCGAGGTCAGCTTCCCTTGTTCTTCCCCAGCGACCTTGCACCCCGCTGCCACCCAGGGTCGGCAGCACCTGTGACCTCCTTGTCCAAAATCTGGCCCTGAATGACATTTTACATCAGCATTCTCCAGTGGTCCTCTGGAATGGAAGTGGCTAGGCAAGCTGCCCAAGGCCAGGGCCCTGAGTGACAGCCCCTGCTGGAGTCTCTCACCCTGGGAGAGCCAAGCAACTCCTCAAATCCTGAGCAGGGAGAACTGGTTCAAGAGGAGCAGGAGGCCCCAGCCACCACTGTGCCACCTCCCGCCAGCCAGCAGATGGCGAGCCCATCCGGTTTTGCTCCAAACACAAAAGCCCTGGCCTCTGGGATTCCACCAGGCCCAGCAGTAGAAAAAGTTTTGCTGCTAGTCACAAAAGTGATCTTTCCTTCCCAGTTTCAGGGAGCAGCAGGGTTTGGGACCCCTGGAAACTGCTTTCACTGACTAACCTTCTTAGCTCTCTGGAAGGAAGTTGCTAATGATATGCAGTTTTGCAGCACCTTTGATCAAGTTATTCAGAGTGTCTTTACTTAAACACAGGAGTTACCAACTTTTCCTAGCATTTGAATAAGACAAATAAGCAATGCTAGACACAACCAGGGACACACCATAGATATTTGCAGGTTCAGATGAAAACATTATTTCAGGGTAGGTAACAACATTATTTTGTCAGCCAATAACTTTTCTTCGTGTCAAGATACACGGACATCATAAAGTATTTGGTCAGTACTTTGGTGAGTCTCAAAGATTTATTTCTTACACATGGATATTTTGCTACTCTAGGTCTGAAAAGTGATCTTACCCTCTCCCTAATGCCAACTGGCACCAGCCAAGTGGGAACCAAAGGTGGGGAGAGGAGACTTGGAGACAGCACATGCAAGTTCCTAGGCTGGTGTTCACCAGCAAGTTCACCAGCAACTTGGCACATGCAAGTTCACCAGTGCTGGCATGGAATAGAAAGTGTAACAGGAAACCCTGAGGATTCCGTGGCAGTGGAGAGCTGAGCACACAATTCTCACCAGGGAATGCTCCCAGGTGCCCCACTCCACCCCTGCAGTGGCTCAGCAATGGTCTGCTCTATTGCCAGGTTCTGAACCCAAACACCCAACATTCCAGGCCAGTACTCAGGGCAGAGGCAACTGCCCCGGCAGCCTTGGCCATGGAGGATGCAGCCATTGTGGGTCTTTTGTCCCTTCTCCTGCTTCTCTGGAGGATGTTCCGCTCCCTGAGGAGCCAGCTTGCCATGAGGAGAGAGAAGCAGCTGGCTCTCAAGATGTCAGCGCACATCCAGGAAAGGTGCCACCTCCTAGACAAGCTCAGCCAACTTCAAAAAGAGCACCAGGCCTTAGAGTCAGCCCTAAAGGAGGCCTGCCTGGAGGAGGAGGCCCTCTTGGAGGAGGAGGCCAGGCAAGCCCAGCACTTGGAGGTGGCCTGCAAGCAGGTGGCCAGGGACAGAGCCAAACTCCAGAAGCAGATACCCTTGCTCCTCAGAGAGGTCCAAGAGGAGCAGTCCAGATTCCAGCAGCAGCAGAGGAGGATGGGAGAGATTTCCCACCGGATCTGGGCCCTGGCAGAGGAATCCAAGTTGCTCACAGCTCAAGTGCCAAAGCCAAGGCAGCCCTGTGCCAAGTCAGGAAAGAAGGCATCCAGGTTCAGTGACAGGAGCTCCTGTGTCCCCACCCATCACCTGAGCCATCAGCAACCAGCAAAGGTGAGAGGGCTTTGTTGGAGGAGCACTGCTCATCTGCTTTCCTGGTTTCATTTAAAACACAATAAACAAAGCCTTGAAATGTACTTCATTAGATCCCAGCAATCTCTGCTCCTATTAAACTTGATTATTTAATGTTTTGGTAGTTTTTGTTTTATTTCTAAATCTAATATGAGGCTGGGAATTTAGTTTAGCAGCACAGTGCCTGCCTGTCAAGCCCAAGGTATTGCGTTTAATTCCCGGTACCAAAAATAAATAAATAAACCTAATAAATTATTTGTTTTTTTAGTATATTTTTGTGGGAAAATTGAGTTAATCATAGCCAGGAGCTCAGGAGAAGAGAAGAAATTTTATTAATGCCAACAGACCTGAGAGGAGTAATCTCCAAAGACTGAGATACTGATTAAAGAGAACTTCTTTTTTTAATAGGGTGGCAAACAGAAGTTACAAATATTAGATAAGCTTGAGCTGAAAGCCACGGTACAGTGGGTATCTTGTGCAGTGAGCGTAGTTGAACCTAGCAAAGTTGCTTTTAGCACGTTCCCAGAAGTTTCAACTTGATGACAAAGCATATGATTTAGCTACTGGTCCAGTAGCAGACTGGACTCTGGTCCAGTACCAGAGAACAGAACGGCTGGAGTTTTTTTGGACAAAACAGCTGCAGTTAGGTCAGGATTTCTGCTTGATCACCACCCAGCAAGTACACAGGGAATGGCAGCATGGGAAAAAAGAAACAAAACATTTAAAGCAAAGTTAGA